AAACTGTCTCAAATGCTATTCAATCCCTTGTGCCATATAGTGAGCTGTCTACTTCATTATTTACCAAGCTAGCATGCTCACACAGTGTAAAAGTGTAAAAGTATCTCCTTTATACCCTCTTGGTGCTTTTTCCCACAGCAGCAAGATACATTTAGGTAGCACTTTACTGTTCTTAAATTGCATCTCTGTCAGGGCAGTTCTAAGGTTTGTGGAAGGCCTTGACCAAGTGCACAGCTTTATATTGTCAGTAGTTTGACAAGAGAGTGATTCCTGTGCATTGGCCTTTAATATTTGAGATTTTGCTGCTGTGGTTGTTATTTGCAGAGCAATTCAGGCAAATTACTCTGGGAACAGTGGAGGTAAGGCTCTTTTCTGATGGGTTTGTGCTGAGTGTTCCTGGTGGCTGCCGTAGCACTGGCCCTGTTAGGGAAAGAAATACAGAATAACACTTTCAGAAGAATAGTGTTGTAATCCTGTCAAATAACATCTGCAGACTGCGGGATGGGCACAGGTAAAGAGATGGATGGATTGTATCAGGCAACACTTTCAACCAGTGGCAGCCTTAGGAATAGAATTTGCAACCCCCCGGCTCTTTGCAGGAGTGGGAAAGGTATTCTGCTTGGGGATAGTGGGAGGCTTATGCATATAGCTCCTATGTTTCAAGCAGGAAATCCCGGAGATGTACTTGGGCATAGGTACTAAGAGGCAAGTGTAAAAACAGCCCGAAAGCATGTGTGCTGAGTCTGACAGAATGCTGAATGTTTGGTCAAATTCCTCTTTTTTCATGTGGACACAATTTATGGTTAGAAAAAGACTACAGTTAAAGGAAAAAAACCACCCAAAAGCAAAACAAGAAAAAAACCATACACCCCCCCCCAAAAAAAAACCAACCCAAAAAACAAAAAACAAAACCCAAAAACCTGAATAATTAAAATCTTATTTAGGCAGCAAATCTACTATCTCACTGTGGAGAAGTATTGGAAAATGGTTACCCTTTATGTACAGACTCATGGTTTAGAGATATGAAGCTCTTGAACTCTAACCAGGAGATGAAAGGAGTACCACCATGATTTTGTCTCTGTTTTGTCATCCTTGAAACTGAGATAACAAAATTACTAACAATACCTTTTCAAGAATGAAAGGGTTAGTTATGCATTTTTTTCATAACACTTAATGCTAAAGCATTTGCTCTGAGTATAAATCTACAGGTAGAATTAAGATAAGTAACGAAATAAAATATTAAAGAATTGTGTTAGATTTTGACAAGCTCATAACTAGACTGGCAGTATCTTAGGAGTCCCACAGAACTTTCTCTAATAAAACATTCCTCATATGTGATTTTTTAATTTTTTTTAATTAGTATTTTTAATTCCCTTGAATGGAAAATGTTTCCAAACAAATTTAGGATTGGTAAATTAATTAACCCTCCCCAAGATTTCTTACAATGGGGGTTCAAGAGCTGCTACTCTGTGTTAAACTGATGTCAGAAAAGATTAAAATGATTCATTTTTGCTTCATCTTTTATAGGAGGCTGGATAATAAAACATCCCAAAGGCCTCTGTTCTACTTACTGTGTTACTTTGAATTGTGCTTTTGACAGGCATCACACTGTTTGTTTATGACAGCTACTAGGAAACCTATGGACCAATAATTTGTTTTTCAGGTATAATTGTGATCTAAGTGTTGGGTTTGCTCCAGAGTCAGTTCTCATTAATCTGTTAGGTAATAGACTAAATAACATCTGGAAGATCTATGTCTTGTTTGCAGGTAAATAAGCATCTTTCGATATTAAGATGAACTTAAAGATTATTCTAAAACTTATAAAGTTTCTGTGATGATTTTATCACACCTGCTCAGTTACATTTTTTTTTTTTTAACACTGCAGCATCTCTTAGGAAGTATGAATTTAGAGCATTAAATAAACTTCTTCAAGTTCCAGGTGCACAACATGAAATTTTAGGTCTACTGGTTCTGGAGATCATAAACAGAAATTCAGGTTTAAATTTAGGTTAGCACTGAAGTTAAAGATGGTGTTTCAAAACTCATAACTGGTGGAACAACCTTTTCAAACAGTGTTAAACCTGTTCTCAAATTCATTAAATAAATGTGGAGCAGTGGTTCTTAGGTCTACCAAGAGAACCAAGAATATAACCATCCTAACAGCTTGATATCTATTAGTGGCTTCCTAAACTTTTGACTCCAGAAACAAGTTGTGCATTGTCCTCATGATTTCTTTTCAGTGCTGTAAGTGGTAGTGATGCTAGAACAGTAGCAATCTTCCTGTTCCCCTTTGCATCTGGTCTGTGCAGTGACTTCAATAGCTCTTAAAAAGAAAGGCATGTATAACCATAAAAGTTTTATTTGTTTCAGTCAACTGTAAAAGTAAGTGCTAATATTTGTAAAATCATTTTTGGGCAAGCGGCCCCTTAGGGTGTTGACTGTGCAGTTCTCATGAAGGTGTGTTAAAGTGGCATATATCATAGAATGGTTTGGGTTGGAAGGGGCCTTAAAGATCATCTAATTCCACTCCTTTGCCATGGGCAGGGACGCCTTCCACTAGACCAGGTTGTTCAAAGTGCCCTCTAACCTGGCCTTGAACACTTTGAGGGATGAGGCAGCCACAGCTTCTCTGGGCAACCTGTGCCAGTGCCTTATATTTCTCATGGTGAAGAATTTTTCCTAATATCTAATCTAAGTCTACCCTTTTTCAGTTTAAAGCCATTCCCCTTTGTTCTATTGCTACTTGCATGAGATATATCTATCTCATGAGGAGTAATCTAGTACTTTGACCCTACCCCAGACACGTTTTCCAGCTCAAAGATGTGCAAATTCGAAGAAATGTGGGCAGAGCCTCTTCCATGGGTTAGAGTCCAACATGGCTTGGCTTTACATGAGGCTGAGCAAAGTACTGCAGAATCCTTTTGTACCTGTGTTTGGACAGGAGTGTTGTTTAGTCATGATTAGGGTGATAGCATTTTTAGCCTGTTGTTAGATTTGCCTTCCCTGTGCATAAATATCTCAATTTGAGTTCAATGTGGAGGTCAGCTACTTGGAGTCAGGACTTGTGCAGTGTGTAGATTATAACCATGACCCATTTCCCTACCTTGTGGTAGTTCACAATTTTGTCTTTACTTAAGGCATTATGGCAAGATACCTAAGAAATCCCAGTTATTTTTAAAGAAAACTTGAAACATTATGTGTCAGATAAAGATAAACTCTAGTTTTCTCAGTATTTATGTTTCTTAATCAGTGGTCCATAGAGCAGTAATAGCGTGTAAGACCAGAGTAAATGGTCCTGACCTAGCCTGCAAAATCATATTGCCTTGAAAAAGATAGAATAAATCTAAAGCAAATCAATGAATCTATTTTAGTAACCTAGTAGGGTTTTAGTCAGTGCTTTTGCATTTCAAGTTGCCTGAAATGCAGGTATTTTACTTTCAAATGCCTGGTCAAACAAATCTATCAGTCTGAAAAAGGACATCCTAAAAAATGCGGAGAATGACAAAATCCCCTTTCAGTGGATGCAACAGTACAAATGTCATGATATAAAGGGCTAATAGGATGTGGCTGATTACATGGCTGTTGTGTGGTATATGAAAAACAGGTAACCAGACATAGGCAGAGCAAATTTCCCAGAAGTGCCAGAAGTGCCAGAAGTGACTTCCCAGTCTTTGTATTTTCCTTTAAAAAGCAGCCATGAAATACTTCAAGCTTCTGGTGCTAGGTAGCAGAAAAGCAGTTTTCTATCTCTTCCAGTGTCTTGGAGAGCTTTTTACTAAAATACCAGAAATCTGTATTTTTGCCAAAATATGTGGTTCCTATACCATTTACGCTGGAGGCTTCCCTTCAGATACACCATGATGTCTTTGGCCAGTAGCATGATAGGTGAATACATTTCCAGGGGAAAACCTGGGATTAATGGTAATGATTATATATGTAAAATGGCAGACAGTTCCTGAGGTAGAGGGGTCTCCAAGCAGAAGACATTTTTCTTCTGCAGCCGTCACTGATTTCATCCTTATCCTAATATACGTACAGGGAGTTATTTGACAAATGCGTATGCTGGTATCAATGCCAATAGTTGCCTACGCTTTTCTAGCTTAAGGATGTGTGCTGCTTATGACTGGCCAAATGCCAGTTCCTCTATTCATTACTCCCTAGCGGCCTTCTGGTGATGTTTTTTTGCTTGATGTAGCTGTATGGTTACAGACTCTTGTGAAGCATAGACCAGGAAAGAAATGCTAGGCATTCAACTTGGAGAAACTGCTCAAACCTCTGGAAGAGCTACCCTGGAAACTTTGTTCATAAGTGTACTGAAGACAACATTTTCTTGAGAAAAAAAGTTGAGGGATTTATGCAGTTTTAACATCTAATTAGTTATCTGTCCAAAAGTGAATTGGTTACATTCCTGTTTCTGTGAGATAAATCAGGCATCTTCAAGTTACCTAGGAGCACTAAACTAATACTAGATATGAAAAGTTCAAAATATAGTGTAAATATTTCGCTCTAATTTGCTTTCATGTTTAAGGGTTCTGACATCATCCTGTTGCCTGTTTCTGCAATGCATTAAAGAAAGGAAGCCTGAACACCAGTTTTGTTTATTTTATGAAAGAGAGCAAAACAGAAATGAAACATAGCCTTGGGAAATATAACCCCCTTTTGTTGAGTATTTTAAGCTATTATTAGAAGGTAAAATCTTCTTTGTTTGCCTTCTGGGCATTTGTAGTCTTTTTATTCAGATTTGTAAGTATAAAAATGGCAGAAGCCAAGATGAAGTTTAAAATGATCTAAAAAAAAAAAAAAAAAATTATTCCAAGACATGTTTAGTCCTTTTAAGCTTATCAACAAGGAAAAATATTCAAGTGTGGAGAAATGACCTTCAGAAGTTTTTCTGTGTAGAGGCACAAACAGAAATATGCAAGGAAAAGTTTTTTTTCTTTCATTCTGCTTTCTTAAACTGTTGGTAAACATTGTAACTCTCCACCTTTCTTGTCTTTTAGCCACATAATCAATGAGCTGATAGAAACAGAACGAGTTTATGTAGAAGAACTTCAAAGTATAATAGAGGTAAGAAACTCTTCTGAAATGACTGCTGGTGCTTAACCTCTGAGTTATCACTGCCAATGCACATCCTTCACGGGCTGAGCACTCACCTCCCACCTCCTGCTTAGAGTACACGGGCTCTGTTTGCAAGATAGCTCAGCCCCGGGGATGGAAAATGGGAAGGATGTTTTGAACATCTTCCCTCAGGGCTTAAAGGAAGAGGCACCTTTTCTAACCCCAGACCACAGAATGATAAAAGTTGCACAATCCTCAAAGTTATGGACAGAGAAATAGTTAATAGGAATGAGAAACAGCACCCTCATTTTCCATCGGGCCAGACACTAAATTTTGGTGAATGTAGGTTTGGAAAACGATTGAGAAAAAGAAATGCCCTCTTCCCCCTCTTGTTTATTGTCCCATGTAGTGTTGGTACACAGAAAAGAGCAGGTCACACTGCAAATGTAACTCCTGAGCTTTTGAAACTTGTAGGATACCGACATACTCTATGCATGTGGGGTCTGATGTCCTTAGTCTCTGGTAGAATGGAGGCTGAGTAGGGCTTAATCATGCTTGTATTGGGGCCGAATAGTTGCTTTTTACAACCATGTGGTTGCTTCTTTATTGGATTTGATTTGTGGGAGCTGACCACTCTGGTAATTGATATTACTTTGGGGTTTAAAATCTGCACTCAGAATGCTCTCTCATAGCTTTTATCGAAGAAACACAATCCAGTTTCTACAAGAAACAATTAAATAATCAAGCCAAATACCACAGTTCAACAAATAAATCCAAAATAAACCTTTGGCAATGAAGCAGTTTAGCAGAAAGATATGTGTCTATCAAACTTAGCATTTTCTACCCCTACATGAGCAAAATGACATTTGAATCCTAAGGAGATAATTTAATCTCTTTTGTTGATCCATTTGTGGTTAAAAATGTGTTTTCACAGTTATCAGGTAAAAAAGCTCTGGGGAAAATTGGAAGCATCAGAAATTCATGGAAGCAACAAAGAAGCAGTCATAAGAGAATCCTTTTTATGCTCAGTTGAGAATAAAAAGTACACAGACTTTGGGCCTCTTCAGTGTCCTGGACACAGTACTTTTTCCTTGGTAAAAACAGGCTGCTTTTATTTTCTACTCTTCTCTCTAGGGGTATGCTTCAGAAATGGACAATCCCAATTTACTACATCTGATTCCATCTGCACTCCAGAACAAGAAGGAAATTCTTTTTGGGAACCTCCCAGAAATCTACGAATTCCACAACAGGCACGTGGGAACTGGTGGCTGTCCTGCTCCCTCGGGTTCTACTGTCATTTCTACTTCTTTGTGTGGTGTGCTTTGACATACACATAGGCACGCAGGAAAAGTCATCCTCACTTTGCTTCTGTGTGTGTCCTATAAAGCCCATGTGTGGAGAACACCTCCAAGATCATCTATTTCATCTTATTTGTATTTTTTGTCTTCTTGTAAAAGATTACACCTTTTTGTGCATTTACTAGTGATTTCCACCGGCAATATCCATTTTGAATGTTTCTCATGCTGACTGTTCTACCAGTTCTCTTGGTACAATGGTAGATGGTGGTGGACTAAATCCTAATGTTCTTTCTCTGGCAAAACTCTCTATGAGGAAGTTTTCTTAGTGTTCAGCATATTTGTCTTTTATTTCTGTTATCACATCAGAAGACATGATATATTTGATAGCACTTCTTAAAGGAATTTTATCTTTCACATGAGCATAAAGCTTTCTAGAAGCCTTGTCCACGCTGTGGACAAAGGTAGTCTAGTGCTCATAGCTACAGAATGCCAGTTATGAATAAGATTAATCTATATTTTATTCTCTTTCAAAACACAAAGCTTAGGGCTACTTCTGTATATTTCCTGCTTTTCCTAGCCTTCACTAAGTAAAACTGTCTGTAGCCAAAGTGAGAATTTAGGAATTATTTTGGATAATAATTACCCCTAAGGTGTAACAAACAGTTGAACAAAAAAATTAAAACCATCCTCTTAACGTAAATTTAAATATTATGCCAGAGTAGTTGATACACAGTAGAAAAATTCTTTTCTAGGTTATGTATTATTTTGAAAGAATGTGTCTTCATCTGAAGAATGACATTCCCCTCCATTTGCAAGCCCTGTCTTTCTTCCCCTGAACGCTTAGTTCATTGGCCTCCACAGCAGAAGCCTTTGGACCACATGCCATATTTTCGCTGCTTGCTGATTAAGCTACTGCATCTGACAGAGCTTTTCTGTCTTTTCTAGCTGTTCTAAAAAAATCCTCATAACTAAATGAGATGCAGGTGTTTGGGCTACATATTGGAAACAAATCTCAACAGCCAGAGGAACCAGATGTATCAGATGCTTGTGAGCAAATGAAAACATGATACTATTGGTGATTCAGGCAATCAGCTGTGAATCACATCCCATTTTTCTAAAATATCTATTTCTTTCTGTGTCAGAATTGTTACCTTCCCCATTGAATCCTCTTACTACGAAAACGTAGGTTTAAAGCTGGATTTACAGAGAAGCTAGCACACAGTTGGAGTGGGATGTTACATTACTGTTTGCTTTATTTCTCCCTCTTAGGATTTTCCTTAAGGAGATAGAAAATTGCATTGAAAACCCTGAGCTTCTTGCCCGATGCTTTTTGAAAAGAGTAAGTAAATTCTTCTGCAGATTTGTTTTTCTGCAGATTGCAGAAAAGAATTTGCAGATATCTAGGAATATCTATGGTCTTATCATACAGTACTTACAGATTTATTCCTGTCTTTTCACTCAGATTGTTTTCGTGAATGAGGGAAACCCACATAAGCAGATATTCCCAAATTAAGCAACAGCTAACAAGTGTGTTTTTGAAACCCGAACTTTTACCTGTTTACTGACAGGAAGAGGTCTGTTACCAGCATTTTACCAATGTATTTTAAGCCCTGGTTAAAAAAGAAATAATCAGTAATCCAAATGTTTAATGTGCTTTTCATATCAGACAAATGTATACCTGCAGTCTAATATATCCCAGACAGCACCTTACTGTAAATAAGCACAGAATGGTGTCACAGCAGATTCCTCTGAGTGCAGATACTACATCCTGTTCCTGTCTTATCATATATCTTTTTTTCTGTGCACCATTCAGGAGAGTTACTCTCCTAGAAGTTTAGAGGAGTTAGGGTTAGCTTTTTTTTTAAAAAAAAAAGTAGAGCGATCTCTGTTCATGGGAAAGCCCAAAGCCCACAGGCAGTGGTGGTTTTGGTCACATCCACGTGTCTTCACTTTCTGTGACTTTCAGTACCTAAGTTCTGCAATTTTCTCCTCCAAGAGCTCCCAGTCATGTCCCTCCCCTTCCACCTTCCCCAGCTACGGACTGTTAGTTCTGTTTCCTGCACTCATTTTATAGCACTTACATAGTTTTTATAGCATTCATTCAGATGCTCCACTAGTGGGGGGGGAGGGGGGGGTGGGGGGAGGATGGGGGACGGGGGACAGGGTGGGAGTTTTGGTGGGTTGCTACCATTTTCATAGTCTGACAAACTGCTTGAGTAAGACTGTTTTAGTGAGAGATGGAAGAGGCATGAGAAATGGGAAAATCTGTCCTCTTCCCTATAGTCAAAAGTACCTCCTGTTTCTACTCTATGCTACATCTAGCATTTGCTGCTTTTCCAGAGTATGTGTTAATTTCTTTTTAACAAGGTGATGTATGAAATACAAATTTGGATGAAACATACACACCTCATTTGTCAGAGATGTTGAGTGTATCACTAAGATTTCAATGGGAATTATGAATCTGTGATACTTCCAAAGGCTATACCCCCCCATTTACAAACAAGCCAGGCTGAACAGCATCATATTTGAGTGTGGAAGGAGCTGGCAGATGAGCTCACCAAGCCACTCTCCATCATTTATCAGCAGTCCTAGTCTGGGAAGGTCCCAGAGGATTGGAGGTTTGCTAACGTGATGCCTCTCTACAAAAAGAGCAGGTAGGAAGACCCCAGAAGCTACAGGCTTGTCAGCTTGACCTCAGTGCTGAGGAAGGTCATGGAGCAGATCATCCTAAGTGAGGTCACACAGCACGTGCAGGAAAATGGGGGGATCAGGCCCAGTCAGCATGGTTTCATGAAAGATAGGTCCTGCTTTACCAACCTGATCTCCTCCTGTGAGGTGGTGACCCAGCTGGTAGTTGAGGGAAAGGCTGTAGATGTTGTCTATTTGGACTTCAGGAAAGCGTTGGACACTGTCTTCCACAGCATTCTCTTGGAGAAACTGGCTGCTTGTGGACTGGATGGGTGTGTTCTTTCCTGGCTGGATGGCAGATCCCAAAGAGTGGTGGTAAATGGTGTCACATCTAGTTGGCGACCAGTCACTAGTGGTGTCCCTCAGGGCTCGGTATTAGGGCCACAGTTGTTTAATATCTTCATTGATGATCTGGATGAGGGAATTGAGTGCACCCTCAGTAAATCTGCAGATGACACCAAGCTGGGTGGGAGTGTTGATCTGCTGGAGTGTAGGAAGGCTCTGCAGAGGGATCTGGGCAGGCTGGATCAATGGGCTGTGGCCAGTGGTATGAGGTTCAACAAGGCAAAGTGCTGGGTCCTGCCCCTGGGTCATAACAACGGGGGCTCAACCCCATGTAACACTGCAGGCTTGGATAAGAATGGCTGGAAGGCTGCTGAGTGGAAAAGGACCTGGGGGTGCTGCCTGACAACTGAACATGAGCCAGCTTGTGCCCAGGCAGCCAAGAAGGCCAATGTCACCCTGGCCTGTATCAGAAACAGTGTGGCCAGCAGGGCCAGGACAGTGATCATCCCCTGTACTTGGCATTGGTGAGGTTGCACCTCAAATCCTGTGCTCAGTTCTGGGCCCCTCACTACAAGAGAGACATTGAGGTGCTGGAGCACCAAAAGGCAACAAAAGCAACAAAGCTGGTGAGGGTATGACGCACAAGTCTGATGAGGAGCAGCTGAGGGAACAGGGGCTGTTTAGTCTGGAGAAGAGAAGGCTCAGGAGGGATCATATCACTCCCTACAACTACCTTAAAGGAGGATGGAGGGAGGAGGTGGCTGGTCTCTTTTCCCAAGTAACAAGTGATAGGACATGAGGTAATGGCCTCAAGCTGCATCAGGGGAGGTTTAGATTGGATATTAGGAAAAACTTATTCACTGAAAGGGTGATCAGGCTTTGGAAAAAAATCTTCACTGAAGGGTGATCAGGCATTGGAACAGGCTTCCCAGGGAAGTGGTCGAATCACCATCCCTGGAAGTGTATAAAATCTGTGTAGATGAGGCCCATAGTAACATGGTTTAGTGGTGGCCTTAGCAGTCCTTAGGTAACAGTTGGATTTGATGATCCCAAAGGTCTTTTCCAACCTAGTTGATTCTGTGGTTCTATGTGAGTGTAAATGTAATTATAAGTCCACTGAATTATTTTCTGTTTAACAGCAAATCATTTAGAGCTTGAGTAAATGATGCTACTAAGCAGTATGTTATTACTCTAAGGTTCAGATGCTGAGCAGGAAAATACTGTGGTGAAGTCATTATACAAAACAGGATAAATGGTCTTTGAAGAATGCAGACCTTTGAAACCCAAAAAGCATAAAATACTGTGTATGTTGCAAATATACCTGGATTTGGAGATAAAGAGAAATTCTTGACACTGAACTGATCCTGTAATTCTGCAGGAAGTTCAAATTCAATGCTTAAATACTGTAGCTTATGTCTCTCTCTGTAAAAACAGCTATTGAGCCCAATTCTCCTCACTACCATTACGAGTATAAAAGCAGCACCAAAGCTATGGTCCAGGTGTGAAGTCAAAGAAAATTGGTCCCTCTGTCACCTTTGCTTATCAGTTTCTCTGGCCTAGTCAAAGAACACTAAACGTATTGAATAAGAGGTTAAATCATGCATTTGATTTCTTCCCATGCTAAATTTCACACTACGAAAGCAAAAGCCTCTCTTGAGATGTCTCTGCTCACACAGTAGCACCTTTGATTCAAGAACTTGCCCTTACGTTCTGTTTTTAGAAGAAGCCACATAAAGTCCAGAAATTTGTTGTTTCTGTTGGATTGCCCTTAGGAGGCACAAACAAAAGTCTGGTTGTATATTTGTGCTCCCCATGATTTGGCAGGCTTTTATGTCTTCCTGCTGAGCAGAGGCTTCTGGCTTGCCCTGTGAGTTATGACTATGCTTGCTTTGGCATGTAAGGAAACTGAAATGGCTGCTGTTAAGAGCTGATACTGAATTCTGGGAGGAAACTCGCATTGTTGCAGATTCGCTTCTCCATTGCTCTTTCTTTGTAAGGGTGTAACCATCCTGCCACAACATCGTGGTGGGCCTTCAATTAGGAGCAGACTGAATTTTAGATTCAAACTTACAGAATGCTACCATGTCTGGTCACACTTTTCAGCCTGATTCCAGAGCTGCTTGAAAGCATCTGTGAGCTGCAGCTGGGACACCCTGGTGTCACAGATGCTCAAAGAGGGGTGGGGTGTGTACTGAATGCTTTGCAGGATGGGTCTTCTGGTGCTTTTATGAGCAACAAGAAGGACACTCCGGGCTGATGTGTGAAACACAGGGCTGCAAAGCAAGAAAGCTTACCAAACCAAGGCAAGAAGGCACAGGAAGAAACAAAAGGTGTGTGAGACTGCTTACCAACATGTGCCGTGTGAAATGCTGGCAGAGGTGACTCACTGTGGATTACCACTGTTTACTTATTAATATTGTTAACCTTGGGAAGAGAGAATAATAGAATAGGATCCAGCAGATGGGGCATTTGTTTGTTCAGGGAGAAAGAAGCTTTTAGAAAAGGAAGCTATCTTTGAAAGGACTGTAGCAGCTGATCAGAAACCTGTGAGTTGGATTCAAAGGCCAAAATTCTAATCTGAAACAAATTTATTCATAAATCAGCAGTCAAAAAGATAATTGGAACTGTGCATATATGCCGTATGTGTGAAAGCTTACAAATCAGGATACAAATCACCATGGAAAGGAAAAGCATTCCGGGAGAGATGGGCATGGTGTAAAAGTACCAGCAAGAAACCAGAACGTCTGGATATGAAAATAGAGATGTGTGAAACATTCAAGACTGTGATTCGAGTAATCGGGCAATTAATTATTTCTTGACATTTTAGAGTCTGATCCTAGTAATTTAATCAGGAATTTCCTATTCCTTACAGTGTTACAAAATTTAAAGCTGCATTTAAAGATGTAAGTATCTGCCTGAACAGGCGTCACTGGTTTGGGCAGTAGTAGAAACTTGCATTGGCATAGGGTGGTTCCACTGTAACAAATTACTGGGAAATTGTTGATTATTGTACCTTTTCTTTAAATTTAAATTGGTACTTTTCTCTTATGCCTACTAGTGATCTTGACTGTTGCTGTCTCTATTGCTCTTGCCCAGTCTCATTAGGTTTCTGTGGGCCAGAAACAAATTGTAATGCTTCATTACACTTTGTTCCTACTTTTGTATCTTTGTGTTTTATCTCCTGCTCACTTCCTTCCAAGGCAACATGTGTAAGCAGTTCTATTTTTGAGGAGAAAATTCTGTAGTTGTTTTGAAATAGCTCCATTAATACTCTATTAAGTTGCAACAAAGCTTTTTGTATTGTGTAATCCTTAGCACAGCATGGCATAGCTCTGCTTTCACATCCAGTTCATCAGAGTGATGTCAATTTAAGTCTATAGAGGAAGGCAGCAGCAACACTGATTTCTTCCTGTAACTCTGTACAAAAGAAAATGCTTTCTCTCCATCAATATTGTCCAGACACTGCCTAGTAGACTGAAAGCAGAGAGGCAAGGGCCAGGAATTCCTGAGATATATTTTTAGCGCTCTCTTTGATTCACTGAGATCATGTCCCCCAGGATAGGTGCTGGCAAAGATGGGAAGCTCCCAGCTGGTCAGACACAGCCAGTCCTGCTTTGGAATCTCTATGGCTCTGCTCCATGGTCATACAGCTGCAGGCCTTCTGTGCTGCCTTGAGTGTAGTCAGTGAACAGAGAACCTGGCACAGGAACACCTGCCTGTCTGTCTGCACCCACCCATAAAGCCTGGGGAGCTCAAAATACACCGCTCGGGGCTTTTATAGAGGTTGGTGTTTGTTTGTGGGTTGTTGTTTTTTTTTTTTTGTTGTTGTTTTTCTCACCAAAGTCAGTGAGATTTTTGCCATGGACTGGAGAGCATTTCGGGTGTAGTCATAGGTAAACAGAGATCAAGTGAATCCACCCACTTTTAGTTTGGATAGGACAGGGTTTAAGTACTTCTCCCTGCCTGGCCTGGTACATCAACAAGACAAACTTGCTACTTTTTATTTCAATCTTGCACTATTGGAGAGCCAACGCTCTTTTCAAAGTGTTTTGAACATGTGAACCTTAGCTAAGTGAGGAACACTGTTAGCAATTACCAGTCTATGCCAGAACTGTTAACAAAATTTACATTTCTAATGCTTTTTTTTATTGTTCGTTTGTTTTCACACCATCTATTCCCCTCTCTGGAAGACAGCTGTTTTGCAATTATATGATGTGTCTTCCAGTCTGCAATCTCCTTGCTTTGTGCAAAAAGTGAGAAAAGTCTTTTTTTTTCCAGGTGTATTAAACTTTACAGGAGTAAAAAGCAAGTTTGGTAGCTGCAGCATATTTTTACATAGAGTTATCCCTATGTATTAATTACTTCATGTGTTAGGATGGAAGGTACGAAAAAGTGTGACTCAAGGCAGATGCTCTGTGGATCCTTTTTTCTTACCTTGCTTTTAAACTCTCCTTGTCTTGCAGAAAGAGGACCTCCAAATATATGAAAAATATTGTCAGAACAAGCCAAGGTCTGAAGCTCTCTGGAGACAGTGTGGAGACAGCATCTTTTTTCAGGTGGAGTTTAGTTTCATTGCAGACTAGCAGTGCAAGACCATCAAAGCTTGTTTTCCTTCTGTATCTCTTCTTTCTTTAGAAAACTTAGAGCAATAAACAGACTTCTCTGCACCCTTCTTATTCTGATGGCAAGTGCTCAGTATGTGTCAAGGTGTTCTCTACAAGAGACTAGCTAGGCAGAATTTCCTAGGTAGGTAGATTTCCTGGACAGGAGCCTGACTCTTCAGGCTATACCCAAACCAAAGAACTGCTGGCTTCTTTGCAAACCCCAGATAATTGCAAGCTCCTAAACAGTGCATACCAGTTTAGAAACTAAATCGAATCTACACATTTGCTCTTGTTTAGATATGTTTTCACTGTGGCATAGGTAACCTGGAAACTCCTATGAAGATAGGACAAATTTATCTTTCAATTAATTCACAGACATATAATCTTCAAATTAGAAAATGATAATGATCTTGGTGTCTTGCCTGTGTTTCAAGACACAATTGTATTTTTCTTCCGTGTTGTCTCTTACAGGAATGCCAGCGTAAATTGGATCATAAACTCTCTCTAGATGCTTATCTCTTAAAGCCAGTCCAAAGAATCACCAAGTACCAGTTGCTGTTAAAGGTAAGTTCTCCATGAGAGTGCTAACAATTCCAATGCATAGCTTGTTTTACTTACAGAATTGTGTACCAGCAATGTTTTCTGAAGGAATACCTGGAAATAAATACTCTGCTACTTCTTCAACAAATACTTTGTAATGCTGTGCTGTAAAATGGTAACAAAGAAAGGACTTCCACTTCAGAATTAAGAACTGCTGTTACTTAGCAATACTTACATCCTAAGCAATAGCAATGTATTGTCATGTATATATGTACTTCTATATATACACAAAGCAAGATATTTTACATAGTATTTTATTTACTTAGTTATTATTTGCCTTTGAATTTGGTTTTATTGTATTAGTATATGGTTTTACAGTTTGAAAACAGGAACTGATGCTTTAAATCCTGTCTCTGACATTTGTCCATGTTTAACAAAACTCAGCTCTCTGAACCTGATACTTTACCATGATTGTAACTCAAACCTTTCAGAAGAAGCCCTACCCTCTTGATGCTTCTGTTTTAAAGACCCAGCTAGGACCAAATAGCCTGTAACTTTTCCACAGGATAAATATATGAGCTTCCATCTTGATTTGGTTGCAACTGTGAGTGGTCCATGCTTGAAATTTTGCTCTGAATTGGGCAACAGGAAATAATGTGCTCTCAAACCAATAACATTTTTTGGAGATGGTGGCTTAAATTTCTGTCTTCCTCAGTTTTTCAAAATAATGTTCGTTGACTTTCCTTATGGGAAGGTCATGAAGGTGAATTACAGGCAATTCTCAAACCTCTGGACTTAATCTAGTGTTGTGTACTGTCATGAAATTTAGCCTGAAATCTGCAGTGAAAATATTAGGCGGCAATTTTATTTGCTAATAGCTAGTAACTACCATGGCGCTGGTCAAATTGTGTTAGTTTAAGCCACGTGAGGATCTGGCTCGCCATTCACTTGTGCAGTATTTCTGTGACCTGCTTATTGACTTCACACAAAACTGTAGAATCCAAATATTGAAAGAGGATATTAACAAGGATGCAACTTCATTGATTTCAGTAGATTTACATCAGTGTAATCCAGAAGTAAATTTGTCTCATTTCTTGAAACTCTTCTGTGACAAGGGAGAAAATGTCAAGGTCTTTAGAAGAACAAGAGTAAACCACATTCTACTTTTAATTTGAAATACGACTGTAAATAAAACCAAGATTAGATCAAGGGGTAAAATTCTCAGGCAAATCAGGTTGCAGCTATTGGGGTTGAGGCTTGTCAGACCAGTTTTGTACTTAGCAACAACACACTGGCACAGACATTTACTTTGTCAGGAATTATGAAGTCTATGAAGATGGTGTACTCTTTCCCTGGCAGCAGGAGCATTTAAAAGTGTAGGAAAATTGGAGTCTGAAAATGGTAAGAAACAAGTGCTTAAGAAGCTGTGTGACTTGAGTGATGATTCTGAGTCATGATTATTGCAACACTATGGTTTCAACAAGTTTAACTAATATTGTAAAGCAGCATGCCCACTATACAGAGAGCAGGGATCCATCCTCATCCTAGAAACTGTGCAACAGGTGCTACAGGAATGCATTATGCTTTTACCTTCTAAGCCCTGGTCACCCAAGCACTTGAGGAGACACTGCTGCAGTTTGGGGTTTGCAAGAACTACCTTTTTGCAGTCCTGTTTATGGGAACATAAGTGCCTCAATTTTTGGATTAAATTATTTCCAAACTCAAAATGTGTCTGAAAATAATATGCCTGAATGAAAACCATGTCAATGGCCTCCCTGATGAAGGGGTCTCATTCTTACTATAATAAAGATTACTAAAGTTCTTAGAGTCTTGATTCATTTCTAGGTATATTTCTGGAATATGTTTTCTGTTTACATTGTAGTCAGCATAAGGAAACAAAATGAAACTCACTTACTGTACAGTTCTTAGTGAGCTGCTATTATTACAAGAACTGGTTTCTTCATGGCTTGCATTTCTGAAGTGAAACCTGTATCCAGACAAACACTTCTTTCATTCCACTGGTAGATGGTAAATAATGGTGAATAAAGTGATTATTTGATTATGAATTATGGAACTATTGTCTCATTAAAAACCAATAAACTTATTATTTCAGCTGAATAATGGATGCAGATTCCAAGCATCAAAATTACAGGTCACTATGTATGATTAGTTACCTTACTACTTTTGGTTTCAGTCATCTATTTCTGTTTAATGGTAGGAATTCTGATAGCTTTGGTTTCAAATTCTGTGTTGTAGTCTTGGAATCTTCCAGATGCTTTGAGGCTCGTGTTTTCCAAAGACTGTACAAAACATGTGTGGGTTTATATCTGTTAACCTTTTCTTCCCTAGATGCTTTTAGCAAAGACACAGAGTTTGATTCTCATCTTGAGTGGATACTCATTGGCGGTAACAGCTTTCTATACAATAGAGTGGGGGAAAAATGATCTGTATATCTGAATCAGCAAGGCTCCTCTGTAGGCAGAAGAGCAAGAGGCAAGGCAGTTAATTTCATTTAAAATGAAGATTTTAGTGTCTTTCAGGATTTACATAGGACATAGCCATTGGTTACAGGAAGATAATTAAATACTGAGCTATGATAAGAATTTTTCAAGCAAAAAACACATATAGCAATAAGAAAAGTCATCTTTATAAGGACCTGTACTGGGCTATATAAGTAGTTTGATCTAAATATTTGGAACTTTAAGTAGGATCTCTGTGTATGAATTGATTACAGAAATTGAGCCCTCAAAAAGTTTTGCTTCTTTCTTTGCTTTGTGTATGTGTTCCTGAACTTGTCCTGAACTTTGTTTCTTGTTCTTTGTGCAAGAGTTGGAAGACGGAATAACTTCCCATATTTGAAGCAGAACATAATGTTTGATGAGCTTTTGCTAGACGTCATAATTGTTTTTCAAAATTACTAGCTCTCAAAAAAACTTTAAAATTTGTGGACATCAATTTGTAGACTGCAGAGGTAGAGAATAAGAGGTGGGAAAGACTTACAGTAATCTGGCCTATTTCGCCTCAAAAAAAAAAAACCCAAACCAACAACAACAACAAAAAAAACAGCTGAAAAACCTGTCTTATAGACTAAAGAAGTCTCATTTAATATAGGAAGAGATATTTGTGAGGAGATTTGACCATAAGTCTACAAGCATCTACAAAAGAAGTGACTTCTTCCCATGCAGAATTTATTTATCTGACAGGAGTTAACTAAGACCTGATTAGTGGAATGTCAAATACACCAAATTCAGACTAGAAATTAATTTTTATTTTTCACAGCTGTACAAAGTACTGTGTGGAACAAACTGCAAAGGGAAATAATGAATCTTAACACCTGAAATCATTGAGTTTAATCTGGAGCAGATATGGAGCAAAAAACACCTGGATGTAATTCTGTGACGTCAAAAAAAATAATTGTAAATATGTCAGAATGGTCTTGTCTCATCTTAAATGAACCTGTAAAACTTGAAAATGTCCGAAAGGTCAAAATGTATGTCCTCAGTGACAATCCTAGTGAAAGCCCTGTTTTTGTGTTGTTTTGGTGGGTTTTTTTTTTGGTGTTTGTTTTTCCTATAGCTCTGCTACTTGTCTAGGCAGCACAAATTTCAAGGGATGATTGTCATATGGAGGCATCTGATATAAGAAGTTTTCAAGCTGTTTTGGTGTCTTTTTCTAATCAGGAAATGCTGAAATGCAGCAAGAATTCAGAGGGTACTGCTGAATTGGAAGAAGCCCTAGCCACGATGCTTGATATCATCAAATCAGTAAATGATGCTATGCACCAGATAGCAATCACAGGATATGAGGTACTATTCGTTGTTGCTTTTACCCTGATCTTGACCCATCCAATGTTCCTCTCATTACTGATCATGCTGTGCCATGGTTAGTACACTTTGCAGGAGCCTGTGCCACATTCGTGAAGGATGCCACTCAGTGACCAAAAATACATGTCAGCATACCTGTCATATGGAGGTGGGGGTAGGAGTGTGGTGAGGAAGTGGGACAAATGCAGCCCTTTTGAGTAATCGCACCCAAAACTCATTTGTAGGTGAGAGGTAGCAAGTGTGACAGGCATAACTTCAGAAATTTGCTGGAACTTTGAGACCCCTATGAAACTCAAGTGTTTCCAGATCTTTTGCACTTAGGGATGAAACTTTGTCTTCCATTTAAACTGGGTAATAGAATCCATCCCAGTGACTGGCAAACTCATTATCTGAAACATGATATAACAACCACAGTGCAAATCAAAGGCCCACAAATTTATATATCTCTCTACTGAAGCTCCATTGAAGTCACATGACTTTCAAGAACTACTGTCGCCTATATGAAATGAGCCCTTAAGTGAGAAGTGGAAGCGGAAGCATGCCTGGTGAAATCAGGCCTGAGGGTGATGTGGTTGCCCATTCTGAGACAGCTGCAGGGTGAAAAATGTCAAGGCGAAACAATGTACTGAAAAGCTGGGCTCAAAGAATTTTTAGATCAGAGTAACAAGAATTAGTCTGTACACCAGAAAAACAGTATTTTGTTCAGAATGTGACTTCCTGAGAAAGTGCTGGGGTCTATACTGACTGAGTGGGAGGAGTTATTCGGGGTTTTTTTTTGGTTTTTTTTTTCAGGATAGAGTGGCTTGACACAATAACAGAATAGTTGGGTTTGGAAGGGACCTTAAAAGATCGTCTAGTTCCAACCCCCTTGCCACAGGCGGGAACACTTTCCACTACACTAGGTTGCTCAAAGCCCCAGCAAACCTGGCCTTGAATACTTCTAGGTCTGAGGTCAGCCACAACTTCTCTGGGCAACCTGTGCCAGTGCTTCACCCCTGTCACTGTGAAGAGATTTTCCTAATATCTAATCTAAATCCACCCTCTCTCAGTTCACTACATGCCCTTGTAAAAAGTCCCTCTACAGCTTTTTTGTGGGCCTCGTTTAGGTATGGAAGGCTGCTCTAATGTCTCCCTGGAACCTTCTCCACACTGAACAAGCCCAGTTCTTTCAGCCTGTCTCCATAGGAGAGGTGCTCCAGCTCTCTGATCATCTCCATGGCCCTCATCTGGACTCTCTCTAACAGCTCCACATCCTGCTCATGTTGGGGGTCCCAGAGCTGAACACAGTATTCAAGATGGGGTCTTACAAGAGTAAGAGAGGTCAAGCAGCGAGGGAGAATCACCTCCCTCAACCTGCTGGTCACACTCCTTTTGTTGCAGCCCAACATTTCTGGGCTGTGAGTGCACACTGCCAGTTCATGTTTAGCTTCTCATCAATCAACACCCCCAAGTCCTTCTCCCCAGGGCTGCTCTCAATCCAGTCTCCACCCAGCCTGTATTTGTGCTTGAGGATTGCCCTGACTCAGGTGCAGGACCCTGCACTTGGCCTTGCTGAACTTCATAAGGTTCACATGGGCCCATCTCTCCAGCCTGTAAAGGTCCCTCTGAATGGCATCCCTTCCCTCCAGTGTGTCAACTGCACTACACAGCTTGGTGTCACCAGGAAACTTGCTGAGTGTGCACTCAATCCCACTGTCCATGTTTTTGACAAAGATGTTAAATAGGGCTGGTCCCAATACTGACTCCTGAGGAATGCTAGTTGTCACTGGTCTCCACTTGGACATTGAGCTGTTGACTGCAAGTCTTTGAGTGCAACCATTCAACCAGTTCCTTATCCACTGGGTTGTCCACCCATCAAATCCATGCCTCCCCAGTTTAGAGACAAGGATGTTATGTGGGACAATGTCAGCTGCCTTTCAGAAGTCCAGGTAGATGACATCAGTCATGCTTTCCTTATCCATCAGTGCTGTGGCCCCATCATATAAGGCCACCAAATTTTTCAGGCACAATTTGCCCTTAGTGAAGCCATGTTAGCTGTTGCAAATCACATCCTTATTTTCCTTGTGTCTTAGCATAGTTTCCAAGAGGATCTGCTTCATGACTGGTCTGTACTTCCTCAGATCTGCCTTTTTTCCCTTTTTAAAATTGAGTGTGTTTTCACTTGTGTTTGCCCATTCCTTATTTTCAACTCTCAGGTTAATTTTGTACTTCAACAGAGCATTCCTGTCCCTGGCAAATTCAAAAGTAGAAGCTTTTTAGCATCTACTTTAAATTCATCAGTCTTCTATGAAATGCCAGATAGTAGCTCCAAGGATTAGATTTTTGCCTCTGCTTTGTTAGCTGAACTGAAAGACAGGACTAAATGGAACATGGCTTGCATAGCCCAATGCTGACAGCATTCCTGAGATGGTTTGTTACACAATATTAAATGGGGTGAAAGTGTGAAAGAGGATGAGCCCAATAATTTCTTCTCCCTGTTCCATCTGTCCCAGAAGCTCAGCTGGGATGCCAGATAAACACCTCCTATAGCTCATGAAACCACGCCCCATTTTGTGGAGTCTTTCCCACACAGGCATGATAGAAATACTTGCCTAGAACGCCTTTCAGAGAAGGATATTATGCCAGCAGAAAAGCAGGTTTTGTGGCAGCAGATGAGTGCTCCTAATTGGATAGGATATTCTGCTTCTTGGAGCTGTGTGCATGCAGACTTGAGCTGACCTCTCATGTAAGAAATTGCAATTTGGGGTTGGTTGGTTGGGTTTTAGATTTTATTTTTGGACATAGCCACAAAAAAGTAGGGTAAAGCTTAAAGAGCAGAAGTTTTAGAGGTGTTTCCGGTGGTCCTAACCTTTGTATACAATCTGGTCTGGGTAGTTTGTTTATGAGTTATGCAGCACTCAAGTCATTCATATGTATCTCTCATCTTCCACAAACATGAGATACAGTGTGTTGTTCTAACAGGGAGTAATTATATTTGAGATAGTGATCAAATTCTTGATTTTAAATAAACTTCATTTAGGACAAAATATTGCTGTCCACTTGTACAAGTTACCAGAAACAGTGTACTCTTCTCTGAAGCCCACACTGAAGAGAGAGTCCAAGGCTTGTGGGCTGATATTCAAAGTCTTTTGTGGGATTGCTGCAGAATGCCATCCCTGCCCGTCTTCTCTCACTCTGCAGTGGTAGCTTCCCATTTCACTTACTGTAATCCCAGTCCTAGGTCCAAGACTGAAGACACGGACCTATCACAAGAGTTGAACTGAGCTTCTGGAACTCAGTGCTATATTGAACAGAGCTTAGAGTGGCAGGAGCCTCTCAGCCTTGTTAGAACTATGTCAAAAATATGCTTGTTAGTTGTTTGGTTTTTTTTTTATTTAGATTTACCTCTTTCCAATAAGCTTTTCAGAGGCTTGCAGATTACACCTGCATACACACAGTCCTGTGTGCACAGATCAAAATATCCAACTCTTCTTTTTTTGTCTTTTTCTTTGTTAGAAATGAGAGACTGTTATAGAAATTACTGAGTTGTTTTGAATGCTTTTGAGAGTCTAATAATACCCTGATACAGAGTGGAAAAGTACCTCATCAAACCCTGCTTTTGCAGTACGATCTCAGTTACAGGATGGGAGCAAGAGGGAGAACAGGTTGCAATCCTTAGTTTAAGAAATCAGGCATGCCCACTTGGAGCCAAAATCTTCACCTTATAATCAACAGAACATAAAAATGTTAAAAATAAGTGTTTTAATAAGGCACTGAATTTATTCTGTCAACTTCCTGTACAAAGCATTCCTAGAAAAACTTGCTGCTAGGATAATTACGTTTGTCATTATTTGATGAAGCCCATTGCCATAAGGATGTTGCCATGCCTTTATTCACACATTGCTACACTCTTTAGTACAGAACCATGCTAGAAAAATTTGTGCTGGTGGCATCTGAGCCAAATATTTGTATCAGTTGAAGTATTTACTCATCAGTGGTCCTCAGACAAGGGCTTAATTTCACTCTCCTTCAGGTGCTTTTATGGCTTCTTGGTACATTTACTCCCTATTTGCACAAGGCTGTACAGCATTGCATAGTTTGCAGATGGTGAGCTGAGAAATTATTGACAAAGCTTTTAAAGAAATAGGAGAGAATTGCACACCTACTTACCTCTAGGCACCAATCTGTCTTTAGACATCTAAGCGTCCATCCTTCAAGGTTTTGCAAAGGAATAAAAGCAGTTCATAGCATAGCAAAAAGTGAAATGAGATCTTTCAGAGCCAAGCCCATTGACTGGATATCTGGACTGCACTGTGCCTTCATACTGACTTGGAGTCAGGAGTCTTGAAACTCAGTTCTTGCCACAAGGTGCTTCCTCTGAGGTCATCAGATGGGGCAGCCTGTGTGTCAGACCCAAAGAGGTCCTGAGACAGACCATAGACACTAATTATGAGTGAGGAATTATGGGCATGGAAAGCAATAGGTTAGTGGTTATTTGAAGAAACCACATGCATTTAGCAAGGAGACAAGCAGGTGGGATTTCAGCTGTAACATGTCCAACACATGGAATGCCAAAGTACATTTCTGCCTGGAAGCTTAAACACCACTGGGGGAAAACTGTGCCTGGGATTGCCCTAGTTTAAATGTGATACAGGCTGTCTCTTTTCCTTGCTTGCTAGGGTGATGTTAGTGAGCTTGGCAAACTGTTGATGCAAGGTTCCTTCAATGTGTGGACTGACCACAAGAAGGGACACAACAAGGTGAAGGACTTGGCTAGATTCAAACCGATGCAGAGACACCTCTTCCTCTATACAAAGATGCTACTTTTCTGCAAGAAACGGGAGGAGAACACAGATGGTCATGAGAAGACAGCTTCATACAGCTTCAAAAATTCATTAAAGGTAATAAATGTGGTAATGGTAGGGGAAGAGAAATAAATGTGGTGTGCTCACAACACAGGGATGCTTCCTTGTGGAGACTGAAGAAGGTATACATCTAGAGCTACCTTACACTCCTGAGTAAATGAAAGCTCCCATTTAGTTTTGATCTGAAGACAAATACAGCCATATGTCCTGCGACTCCAGACGTGAAGCTTGGTTTTGCAATTTGATACAAATGGGCATCTTTCCCACTGTCCCATAAAGAGAAGCAAGGGACCTGCATCTCTCATTGGTCTTCCTATTAGCATCCTCCAAGTTCATTGCAAGTTTTACTATTGACATCAGTTGAACAGATATATTCTGTGACAATAATAGCTGTAGATGAATCACAGTGCAGTAGAATTGCCCTTTTATTTGCAAGAGTGACATTTCTAGATATGAATCAGGACATCTGTTAAGATGGGATACACAAGCAGGCCAAATTTTCTCTTTAAGCACATTGGTGTGACACTTGTGACTTCGAACAACTAACATGGATCATTGAGTGTAATGCTGCAAGCCTATTATAGGATAACCAGACAGGAATTGTAATAGAATCTGGTTCAAGAAGCAAACAAATTCATATGAATGTTTCAAGTCTTTCTGAGGAGACAGCAGGAATTATGACATAATCAAAGCTATTTAAATCTTCACATCCAATGCTGAGGCAAATCTGAAGAAGGGGGCTGAACAAATTAGGAAGAAGATGGGAAGCTGGTAAGTGTAATAGCAGTTAGATTTCAAAATTGTGGTTAAAAGTCTATTTCTTAAGAGATCTAGAATGATTTTCTTTAGTTCCCTGTTCATCTTGCCTAGTTAGGCACTTAGCTGCTTGCTCCCCTCTTTTTTCAATTTTCCTGAAACAACACTGAATTTTTCGCGTTGTCTGGATTTGTAGATGAGTCTCACAAAGCCCTGTTCCATCCCTTGTCCTCTCCCACCTCAGCAGGTCACTGTAGCATAGGTGGACAAAAGCCAGGATAGGACTGAAAACTGACCCACAGTTCAAGAAAAGCAAAGCAAAGAGGATAAAGTCATGATTAGACATTAGCTTGTGTTACTTTTGAGCACTTATTTTTTTTCCTAAAACAATCAGAAACATGAATGATAAATTAGATGTTGAGAAATAACATGGTCTGAATTTTACTTCTAATGACTCCCTAAGGTGCAGAAGTGAATGTAGCCTTTTAAAAATGCTTCTCAGAGAATAAATAGTTTAAAGACTATTGACATTTTCCAGATTCCAGCTGCTTCTTTACTATTTTGAAACAGATGAGCACGGTGGGCATTACAGAAAATGTAAAAGGGGATAATAAGAAGTTTGAGATCTGGTATAATGGCAGAGAAGAAGTCTACATAATTCAGGTAACAACAATACTTTTTCATCCAATGACTATACTTACTTTTAGTAGAGCTGTTTTTAAGAAAGTTTTCAGTTTCATGACTCTCACTGTACTGTACACTCAAGAAACAATAGCCATTGGAAGTCTCATTGTTGTGTTGGCACTGAAATGATCCATTTATCTCATTTTAAATTGTGAAAATGGTTGTGATTTGGGGTAGAAGAGGAAAAAAAAGTGGAAAATTACTTGGAACGCTAAACAGAAAAGCAAGGACAGGATTTTAGATTCATGGTAAATCTTCCTTCTTGAAGAGTGTCTTCTGCTTCTGGGCACAGTGTTCCATTCCTTGTGAAAATTGAGAGCAAATGTAGTTCAGGGCAGCTGAGTGATTAGCAGCATGCTTTAACTAGATCTACTTTGCCTTTTCCTCTTGTGTTCTCAGGCATCTTCTGTTGAGCTGAAAAACACCTGGATTTCAGAGATTCGCAAAGTCCTGACAGGACAACTGGAAGCATGTAGAGGTAGGACATAGAGAGTGAGATTTGGTAGTGTTGCCTTCCTTCTGTAGCTGTGTTTGGCAACATGGATCTGGAATAAGTTACTGTGCTGTCCAATATCACCAGGAAAATCAGATCTTCTATGTGAGGATCAGTTGGGTGGTTGCAGCATTACTGGCATTGAAACTCTTGTCCTGATCAAAGAAAATGTCTTAGAACTTCAGAAATGGCATAAATCATAATTCCATTCACAGTTAGTCTGAGGAACATGATGTTCCTCTGTTCTTCCTCTCAAGTTGCAACCCTAGAAACATCTGTTTACATCAGCATGTGAGATGAGGTCCCAGTATTCACTCTGTGCCTTCTCATAAGACGTGACATGAAAGATCTCCTTCTACATACATGGACAGACACAGCAACTGTTCCTCTGTATCCCATTTTTTGTTTTGCTTTGTTGGGTGTTTTTACTCCAAATCTAGTCACCCACGTATGTTTTAAATGTAAGTCAGTTATCCCATCTATTTTTTCTAGGTGACCTCCCAGTAAAACATGATTAATGACATCTCCCTCTCTCATAGAGATGTCACTATTAAGGTGATTTGTGATGTGCACAACACAAGTGATTGAAGCCTCATAAGTACCTAAAATAATGACCCTCTTTTTTTTTTTTTTTTAAGATATTGAACTCAAGACAGACAGAATTCAGTTAGGTTATTCCAGATAGTAAGAGAACATATTGGTGAAAGCTATCTGAGATAATATTCTGTTTATGAGTAAGAATGTACAGTGTCTTAAAAGTAATTTTTCAGGCGCTCTTAGGACAAAAATCCCATAGCTGTGCTCAATGAAGACTTTCCCTGGGCCCTGGCATTGCTTCTCACCTGACCTGTCATATCCTGCTTCTCTCATACATACGCCTCTCGTTAAAGCAATGCCAGCAAGGCCTCACTGCCCACAGCCTACAGATTCCTAAGCAGACTTTGTCCTAGGTGGAAACCTGTGCCTGTACTTTAACTTTAGAGGTCACCTTTATTTTAATTGTCTGTTTCAGAAAGACAATGAGTTCTTATAAGGTCCTTAAGTGGAGGGAAACAGCTATGCACATTAGCCTCAGCAATTTAATCCAACCACTAACAATACACCTTTTACAATGCTTACTACTCAGGTCTTTCGTTACTATCCTTGTCTTCATCCTTTCTCCTTTTTATTCTGAATCTCAGTGTGGTCAGTTCAGCAGGAACTGCTGAGGAAAGAATTCAAGATTCTTATCAGTGCATTTCCATGACTCCATCTGGGGACTTTCTGATACAGTTTCTAATATTTACTTCTGAAGCATAAAAGCTGGCTTTATGTAGAATACCACCAAAGAGAAGAGTAGCTTATGGAGAAAATGTATATATGTAACAGGATAAAGTGCTAACTCTCCATGTGTGTTTCTAGACAAAGAAAATGAAGCTTGTATGTGACCCAGATGAGCATTTGTGAAATCTTTGCAGCATACAAGACCTGTATGCTAGAGTTACTATGCATTTTCTATGCATAGAGAAAGCTATGCAAGAATCAAGACTGAAAGTTTTTGAAAACATTTATATTTTTATATTCTTTATTGTTTTGCCTTAAGATCATAGGATCACAGAATATTTCGGATTTCGAGGGATCTCGGGACATCAGAGTCCAGCATCCTGCTCAACACAGAGTCAGTTAATTGTCAAACCTGGTTACTCAAGACTTTATCCAGTCTGATCTTGAGAAAATTCAAAGATGACATTCATCCTACTCTATGAATAAAGTCAAGTTTTCCTTCATTGTGAATCCAGCTTAACAGCAGTCAGAAAGCAAAAATAGTATCTTATATGTTATTGTAGCTCTTCCCATTGCCTTTTCCCAAATGATCACATGAATCAAAGCCTTTATTACAATACTGATGACAGGAAGCAAATGCTTTGTCCTGTGTTTTTAAACAGTTGTTTCTATTTCCAATGACTCATGAAAGAAGAGGCCTTAATTCATGCTTAATCGAAGACTCGATATTTCTCCAGCTGTGCATTGTAATGAGAGAAGGAAGAGGGACACATTTGTTTGTCTGGGATGTTTTTAATGACTGTTGTTAGGAGTTGCAGAGGGAGTTGGAATGTTGGAAGGAACCAGCTGTAGTGAGTAAAGGGCAAAGAAGGCCAAAGGTATGTGATAAATAATTTAACATATAGGTCATTAGTGTCCAAATACTTAGTATATATACACCCCCTATCATATATTGCAGTGGGCCTGAAAGGCTAACAAGGCTTTGGGTAACACCTTGATTCCCCAGTCCCAAAGAGCATTAATTGTCCCTCACAGGCAAAGGAATTATGAACGCAATTTAAGTGATTTCTGAAAGGCTGTGAATCTGTTGCCAAAACCAGGAACAATGCTACTTCTGACTCCCCACCCGGAGTGCTTCTTTCTCCCAGCATTCCCACCCACAAAAGACTTTGTTAAATTTAATCTTTCAGTACTGCCTCTGTCCCTTTCTTCTCCTTTCATTGACAGGAGCTTTATCTTCTTTCAAGGTGAAATAGCCCTTCAATCCTAGAGCTTAAAGCAGCTCCTTCCATTGCTTCCTCACTTCTCAGTGTCAGATTCTTCTGTCCCTGAAAGCCAGGTTGGCAGCATCTTTCTGACCATCTTTCTCTGCTCAGCATTTACCAGAAAAATGAGTCTATTGCTACCTTGAATCTGTGCCAAAAGAGTGAACAGGTGGCGTCTGAGCAACATTTTATTATTGCTGTTTATTCAGGATGCTGAGCAAAAGCATTCTTCAGAGGGATGGGGATATATTCTACTGAAGTCTGCATGTGTAAAAGGACTGATGTACATATGTTACTAAGGCCAGAAAAAGCTGTACAAAACTTGTATTCTGAGGAAAATGCCAATATGTTCATTCTCTGGATTCATATTGTGCATGAGCTAGGAAGAGAAGGTGGTAGGGGAAGAAACCTCTTCTGCACTTAAAAACCATGGGTAGAAGAGCTGTTTGGGTGAGCTACATTTTCAGCCTTTAAGATCACCATATGCCTTTCTATTCAAGTACAAGTGTTCTGTTTTTATTGCAGCAGCAGTCAAAATCTCTCCTCTCCTATTTCTCTCTCTCTCTTGACCTTCTATGCAAACAAGGAAGCAACTTGCTCCAACATAAATTGGAGCAATATCTTTTTATTTTCTTTAACAGAAGCAAGTCAACTGCACCAAAGAATCACTGAGAGTGTATACCATGCACCAATGGATTCCTCCAATGCAAGCAGGTAACCACAGCTATTAAGGCATATCAGGACCAAGATTTGTCTTGCCTTTGTGCTTTTACAGTCCCTAAATTCTCAGTTTTCTGTGCTTAGCTTCCTGGATAGGACTTACTAGTTTATCTTCAAATTCTTTAAACACATGTAAATACAGATAAACATTTTGCTCATGAGGAAAATAAAATCACAATGCAGAATTAATTTCAAACATTATCATTTGGTTTTGCAAAAGAAAAACCTCCAGATTAATTCGAGTTTAGACAAAATGTATTGGAACATTTCCAGGAGCTGTCAGCAAATTTTTGTAATGACCCAATTGCTGGGCAAGTTTAATGTAAGTTGGTATGGGATATTATTGTAGAATTTTAGCAGGATCAACCACACCAAGAGATCCCAAGTAAAAAAGCCAGCCTTTGAGAGCTATACAACTCAGTGCAAGAAATTTTAAACAGATGCAGTGCTGCTAATCCTGCACCGTATTTTCTATAAACTTGGTTACATTTGCTTTGTTTAAGGTTTAAGCTGAAAAGTTTTAAGCATGAAAAATCTTTCAGCAAAACTACCTCAGGGATAGAAGAAAATTATTCCAGTAAAATATGAAATGCAATCACAAAAATATTTGAAATCAATCCAGATGTATATCCCTCTTATAAGACTCTTAAAGTGAAAAATTTCAGAGCATAAATTATAGACAAAATATGTCAACAGAAAATTAATTAACTCCAGGAAGAAAAGCCATGTGATTAGCTATTTGTCCTAGAGTGGGTTAAACCAAAGGAAAGATGAAATATTTGTTATCTTCACTCTGCCAACTATCCCAGAGAAGAACAGGTTAAATGCATCTGCTCCAAATATTGGGGTGTTATAGGGACAGGAAGAATATCGTAAGTCTTCATGAAAGAACAATGTTCTAGGCTTTCATAAATAGCACAAAGTTCATGGTGTCCTGTTAGCTGCTGTGAGCAAAGGCCATCTTGATCCTCTGTAATATGTGTTTCATAGAGAAGCAAGGACTGGGGAACTGCAGCACAAGGTGACTTTGCCACCTTTGAATTCTGGAGTGATCCAGAATACCTTAGACTGTGGAGCTCCTTCTGCAGCCTGTTTTGGGATGCTGGGTGGGGGCAAGGAGAGAAAGGAAGAAGCTAGACTTGTTATAGCCACCCACATGGTCATAGTCTGTGTTTATAACTGACATGACTAAGCACCCCCAGTTGCAAAAGGTGCTACAAGTAAGCCAGTATTAGACAGTACTAGAAACCAGCATCATCAGCGCTCAGCCAGTGGCTGGAGGCTAATTAGTTATTCAGATTTTACCTAACCAATAGACACCCTCTTTTGGGTTGGTCATGTGTAACAGTGACTCTACTTATTAAGAATTATTTTTTATAATTTATTATAATATATTATAAATTAAGAATCATCAAACCTGTACTGTAACATTGGAGAAATCTGGTTTCAGGATGCTCTCCCTTCCCTGAGCATCCTTTGTCATTTGTTCAGTGAAAAAGACTACTCCTTGTTTAGTGCCACCGAAGCACTGAGAGCTGCATTTCCATGACATAAGGTAGGACTGGGCTGACTCATGATTGGACCTGAGTTGTTGGCAAAGGGACACTTGAAGGCAGTACCCTTAATACAGGTGGTTATTGAATATCTCTGAGTCCTGTTCAATCTGTTCAAATTCCCTCTAGTAAATTCTTCCCCAGAGTTTCATTTTAATCCCAAAATGAGATGTCCTGTGGTATTTATTGCTGCTGTATCTCAAGGGATGGCTGCTGCATTTCAGTGATAATTAAATGATCCCTTTGTATTATTTTCTAATCTAGTTAAACATATGAAACTTAAACAGACCATTGTTCTAACTGTTTCACTATCTGCTTTATTGGAAGTGATTGATTCAGTCATACATCCATGTAAAAATATCCTGTGCACATGATATATAACAAATGCTTGGTTTTACTACAGATGCTGTTTCAGAAAAGCGGGTGTGTTTTCTTGGTGTCTTTCTCACAGCTGTAAATCTTTAACTCTGGCAGCTGCATGTTTCACCGTTATCTCAGCCTAGCTGGGAAAGAACAGAGAAAAAAAGAAAAAGGAAACATGAGTGTGCTTTGGATTTGTTCCCATATTTATTTTGAGCCCCATTTTATACCTGACATCAGGCTGCAAAATCACATTTTGATTCAGTACAGGAGGTAACAGAGACCTCTGTTAAGGTTCCACCAAAACCAGGTCAGAGGTTCAAACAAAAAGCGATGAGTCCCAGGCTGCATGTAGTTATAACAGGTATTCACAGATCTCTAGTATTCCGAATGTTTTAAAGTTTTTAATGATATTTTCGACCTCCCCTCACAGCAAAACAAACCATATGAATGTTAAGTACAACTGTTCATGTGTTAATTCTAAACACTATGTAATTGTTGATATGTTAATAACTAGCATTTTAGGAAAGAATATTTGGAGTGTGTAGATACAATGAAATTGTGGCGCAGTCTGCCAAAGATAACAGTCAACACCCAGACTAAACCACCAGACATTTGCGAAACAATAAAGACAAGAACCATGAGAAAACCTTTCAGCTTGAATGCGGTACAAACCTGGGGTGGGGGATGGGGGATGATTCCATTAAGGATTACAAGGCCAGTACTTGTGCAAATCTGGCAAGATGCATGCCCTCATCTGTGGTTCAGCTATAGACAGAGACATCCTGCTTGGATTTGTGTTTTCAAAGAAGAGAAGAAACAGCAGCTGGAAGATCCTGGAGCCACTGGAATCTCTATGTTCCTCTACACATGGTATGACCTCTACATGCCATCTGGTACCCATTTTTCTCCTGGAGTCAAATACACTTCTTCTGCAAAGGATGGAAAACTGGGGTCCACTTTTCTAACCTGGTTCCCACTCCTTCTGTCCACATCTGTTGGACTTACAGAAAAGGCTTCTGCAGGGAATCATCTTGTTCCTCCATTTTTCCCTTCTCAACTCTGGCTAAGCACACCCCTTATTGTATGGCATGTCAAGGAGGCAAGGGTGAGAATGGCTTTTCCCATCATACATGCCTGCACAGATACAGATTTATATCGCACACAGGATTTTAAAACCTGCCCTTTATTCCTTTGGCTTCCATATCTGAGGGTAAAAAAGAATACTTACTGCTCAGTGCTCCATCAGGTATTAAGCAGGAATGTAACTATTTTTGTATTTCATTTGTCCGAAGGTATAGCAGGAAGTCATCAAGTGTATATGAAAACAAATCTGAGACATCAAACGTGGAAGCATCTAACAATAAAAACAGGAATTCCAGTCCCAGCGCAAGACAAAAGAGAGGTAGGAGTTCCGAGACAGAGCTTTTTGCTTGCAATGGGTAATATATTTATTTTTGCACACTCATTTCTGAAGTTTTATGAGGGTACTTTAAAAGTGTGTTATTTAAACACAACATCGAAAAGAAACCACAACAGTGCTATAAAGCTGAGTGACTGTGCCACGAAACTTCCTGAACACTAGTTCAGGATTTTTTAAATGTGAGTTTTGATGCATTATAGTGCTCTTTATACATCTTGTGTTTTTTTTAAAAAAAATTTGGGGTCCAAATAGCATGCATATTTTAACCTTCTATATCCTGGCTAAGTTAGTTTCTAGTCATATTTAATTTTAAGACTCTATGGGCTTTACTATTATTTTTTGCCTCCTGTGTATAGGTTCCCCTCTAGTGTACAGTAAATAAATGCACATGTGGTCACAGAAAGTCCCTCCATTATTTGAGGGCATGAGTAAAATAGATACATTCTATACAACGTAGGTTAAAATGAACACTAAAAAGAAACTGGATCTCATCTGGTAGCAGCAGGAACAGAACATATTTCAGCAGCAGTTTCTTTTTTAGGTAGTATTTTGAAACATTAGAACAAGGCTTTTATAATAGAAAAAAGAAAATTGTGAGGTCTGAAGAGATTAATGACCAAATCAGGCTTGAAGTAACAGCAGGCCCCTTTATAAATAGAGATGAAAAAAAGAAAAAAAAAAAAAAAAAGAAAGTTGAATACTTTTTCCTTTGAAAATTAGGATGTTTACCAAATGATTTTTCATTGCAATATTTTCATTCTGGGGAGAAAGTTAAGGATTCTTCATTAAAAAAAATCCAATGTTAAAAACCTGTTTCAGTATTTATTTCAGTATTTTTTCAGTATTATTTCAGTATTTTTTTATAAATATAAACTTTTCTCTTAATTAAGCAAGCTGAAAAGTAGGCTTTCATTTGAAATTCATAAGCCCTCTTTTCAAAAATATCCAGGAAAATTATTAATGTTTTTTAACCGGTCCAGTGTGAGAACTGGGATCACCCTATATGCTGATTATCATTCTTCTGTCTTCTGCTTTCCCATGACCAGTTCCTCAGGGCTCTCGGTGTAATTCTGCTAGTTCAGCCGAGAGCCTCCTCATCCTCTGGTATGTGGCTGCTCCTACAGTGCCGAGCAGCATGTCACTTACCGTTTTGTGATTCAGGGTGTGCCTGTGCATGCTGGGCTGTAAAGTACACTGTGCAGAGAGCCGGCGGAGAAGCTATCCGACTCTCGATGTCCCATTGAGACTTTTTGTGTCCTTTGAGGCACCTCTAGCTGGGACACTGAGGTCTTTAAAATGTACAGTTAGGTCCTGCTTTCAAAGGTATAGAGGAATCCTGCTGCAGACTTCTGGGGAGGGCATGGCTGTGCTAACCCGCAGTACACAGGCAGCGTGGTCGGGTGCTCGGCCAAACCTGTCTCTCTTGTGCCACCTACTGACTGTAAGACTCTCAATGTCTATGTAGTTAATGTGAACAGATAATTTTAAAATACTGTTTTCTGTGGTACGGAGGGGGAGGACACTATAGGCAAGCTATTTCAGACTCATTATTTTTATGGATAACTGCCTATGATTGAGTTATCTACATATAAAACAGTTTCGTGTGGACCTGATTGGTAGATTCACTGACTTGAAGCTATATGGGAGCCAAGTCCTGCAGGAGCCACTGGAGACCACCTAGCCTAACTACTCTGCTGAAAGCTGGAGCAAGTTGCTCAAGGTCGTGTCCAGTTGGGTTCTGAACCAAGGATGATGACTCCACAGTTGTGTTGGGGATGTCATCCCAAGGCTTTAACTACCTTCGTAGTAAAAACGTGTTTTTCATGTTTTTTTAATGGAATTTTCCATATTTCAGTTTATGCCCATTGCCTCCCTCATTCTATCACTGGGCTCCACTGAGAAGTGTCTGGCTTCATCTTCTTTACTTGATAAGATCCCCCTGAGCCTTTTCTTCTCCAAGGTGAACAATCCCAGCTCTCTCACTCTTTATTCATGTCAGCTACTGCAATCCCTTAATCATCTTCATGGCCTTTCACTGGATTCATTCACATATCTCCATGTCTCTCTTGTCCTGGGTAGACCAGGCCAGGACACAGTACTCCAGGTGTCTCGGCATCATCTTCCTGGACCTGCTGGAGAGGCTCTGTCTAATGCAGCCCAGGATGCTGTTGGTCTTCTTTGTCACAAGTACCCATTGCACGCTCATTTTCAACCAGTTGCTCATGAGGGCCTAGTCCTTATTGTGTTTGGAAATGGTTTCCAGGGTTATTTGGTATGCTGCAGAATGAAGGATAAGACTTGAAATAACTCGGGTGGAGACAACATGTCTTTAGAGACCAGGTCTAATGATTGGTTAGTGCTGAGAAGCTATTGGGGCTTATGAAATCCTAAGGGGTCTCTCAGTGAAATGATATAATGGCATAGCTGAAGAACCAACATACAAACCCACCCCCTCCACATATGTGCATGACTCTGATAATGAAGTACTATGGATTTTCTTGCTCTATGCAAGCAGAAAGTAAATGTATTTTATACACCAGTTTCTGGATTCTTTAAAAGCTACAGCATCCTTACAAAGATTGCCTCACAGTGGGAACAGACACGGCAGGGAACAGCTCTTAGGCCAACACATGCAGTCTGAAAGCCAAATGCTTCCCAGTGCTCCACTGCTGAAACCACTGCTTAATAGTGGTTCCTCACCAGGTGCACCTGCCTGGTCCAAAGCTGGTGTCAGGCCAGGGGGTAGGAGGAGCTGAACCCCACCAAAACAATGCTTCTGTATTATTAAAAATCTGTTCACCTCACACCCACCTAAGCAGGCAGGCATCTCAACTCCTGGATTATCTTGGTTGCAAATCAGGAAGTGATGGGATGAGCTTTCCTTTGGAAGCACAACTTGTCTGTCTGTTGCTTGTCTGTCAGGGTGGATTCACTGTCTCTTCATATTCCCTTTGTACTTCTGGTATTTATTTGTCCCTCTGATGATTTTCACTTGGCTGTGTATGAAATAAAGAGGAAGAAAAACCTGTTGGTTAAATCCTAAGGCACAGAACCAGGCAGCCAAAACACAGCTTTTTTCCTGCTCCTTTGCCGTATATCTTCTGTGTGTTACCTGCCCACACAAAGAAAGGGGCAGATGCAGAATTTGGCAGGAATGCGTGGATATGGGGGGGTGATCTAGGTCCACCTGTTTCCTGCAGTGTGAGTAACTGAGCACCTTTCAAACCCAGAGTCTCAGGACCTAAATCCATCTGTGACTTACCTCTATAAAGGCAACTGTCAGGCAGCATGGCTGGCTTATCCATGTGTGAGCCTGGCATGTAAGCTTTGCTGGCATGGCAGTCCTTATATCCCAGCAAATCATGAAAGCAAATGCATGACTATACGCCAGTTTCAGAAGCTGTTAGAAAGACTTCAGCAGGTAAGGCTGAGAGCATATCAGCCATACAGCTGATAATGGGAGACTCTTCAGTGCTGGTACTGGATAGCAAAAATGGGACTGCTCGTAACGCTTGGTGTCTGTACATGCACTGTAAGGATTCGTCTCTTATTTCTTCCTACAACCTTGTTGTTCCAACCAGTGTTTTCATGCTAAAACACACTAGATCCTTTTTAATAAGCTTGCTGTTAAGCTGTATTTTCCTTTGATGAGAGCTACATCCCTTCACCTATTTTTCTTTGGTTTTGCTTTTTGTTGTTGTTCTCCATTAAAACTCAGTGAGCCAAACTCAACCCAGCTGCTCTGTTTGGCTCATCTGGTTTAACCACCCTGACCCCATGTCACCTTCCTGATTGATTAGCTCTTGCTCAGGCTTGAACTGAATCAAAATTTATTTGTTTATTTATTTTCAGTTGTCATCTAGTGCTAACCTTTCCTTTCCCACAAGCTGAACAGCTGACCCTTCCTTCCTTATTTCTCTTCCCTCTCCCTCTCTCTCCTAGTTGATGCTTCCACCAGCCTTAACCTTGAGCGCACAGCGCTTGCTAGAAAGCGATTCACATTGCAAGGTCTTTCCAACCGCAGAGCTCCACCCAAAGGTAAAATCACCCCACACAGCATTTGGTCCCTGGCCATCTGTCTCCTGCACTCCCACAGTGTTCTCTCCATCCCATAATGCCATCCATCGCTATTTCCTAGAGTGCTGCCACATCTCACCAAAATGCTCCTGTCTGATGCACACACATGGCTTCTCTTCTCAAAGATGCTGTTAACAAAAATTGCTCCCATGGCACTGTTGGCAAAGCACCTTTGAGATGACTGGTTGGGTATTTTGCTGGTGCACAGTGCAAACAGGATTTATTTCCAGTTTCTCTCGAGGGCCAAACTGTGAACTTGTTTTAAACCACCAACCTAGCTTCCTTCAGCAATTTACTGACTTGAAGGGAAGAATATCATCTCTGTGTTGAGTTACCTGAGGTTTTCATGTGTTAAATTGCTCATTGGTTGGACCTCTCTGTTTTTTTCACATGTTGCTCAGCCATGGCCTAGTGGCTAACTAGAGAACCAGAATTCAGAAGATCTGGGGTTTATTGCCATTTCTGCTTAATTATATGACACTGTAAAATGGTGTGTTTGGAGTCTTTGTGCGTAAAGATTTAGAAGATACTTAATATCCACCAGTAGAGAGCATTGCATGTTCCTGTGATGGCTGTACAAGGAAGAGACTTCAAAAGAAAGAAAGAAATGTGAATATAAATTAAATTGAATAACTATTTATAATTGCTTTCTGGAAAGATAATGTAATTATTCTTTGTATAGTTGTTATATGGCTTTTCTTCTGTCTGATAAATAATGTTTCTTATGCGAAAGAAAGTGTTAGACCATCCAAAGAGGAAGAATCAAGATTAAAGAATAAAAAGAGAAATACAGAAATTAGAGTGTTATAAAGTAGATGAGAATACACCAAGAGCCAGCACAGCCATAAGATTCTGAGTGCAAGGTTAAGGCTGCACTTGGTAGTAAGATCCAAGATGGACAAACCAGTTCAATATTCTGAACACAAAAAGGGAGTGGCTTTCAGATCCTGTGATTTGTGGACATTACAAAATACAGATTTCAGAAATGCAGGATAATGTAATTTGAGTGAATTTACAATTTTGTTTTGGACTTCTTTTGCTCTTTTATCTGAATTTTTCTTATCATGTGAAATGTCTTGCATTGTATTCAGTGTCCCAGAGAGCAAAGCACAGTTCAGAAGAGTTCATACCCCCTAATCTGTAGGCACTCTCAGCTCAAGTCTTGCTGGGTCTTGTTACTTGAGATTCCTGTGAAACACTTCCATTACACAGTGTCCCATTTCACTTTGTTATGCTGTTCAGTTACTAATCTGGTCCTGGCATAGGGGAAATGAATTGGCAAATAGGCTGGATGATTTGCAGTGTGGTCATTTCTACGGGGACTGACAACACAAAGCCGAGCTGGCACTATGTGGACTGGCAGATCGGAAGCTGTGCGAAGGTAACAGGGAAATTACTGCAATAATCTTTTCCTGCTTTTGACTCCTTTGAGGATTCATTACTGGCTGTGGTAGGAGATGGTATACTGAGCAGAGCATACTTTGATTGAGACCTGCTGTGTCTGGTCATATCCAGAATACATGAGAATAAAAGGGAAGATTTAGACTGTAAGATAACAAGATTATCCAGAGGGAAAACAAGATTGCCTGATGATTATCAGCTGGTAGTGGAGTATGGATGCTCAAAGCATTGCTGAACTGTCTGCCCAGGCAGGATGTGATGGGGTAGAAAATATTGTATATAAGCACCTTGGCATGTTGGACAAAGAAATGCTGGAAGAGAAATTTTACCATCTTGCACACCATCAGTGCAGATACCCCAAGGCAGCTATACCAGAACTGGCACCAAGGTGTATGAAACCTCACACTCATAGCACTCTGTATCTCCCCACTCTTGGGTCAGCATTAGCTGTCTTGGTTTGCAGAGCTAAGTTCATATTTCTTGGCATTGTCACAGAGTCTCTAAGAGCTGCATGATACGGTGTAAATGTAACTCAGTGCCTCAGTTATAAAGTGAAAATTTCTTTGTATTTTAATGAGGGCAGCTACAGCAACCTAATCTTGGAGTCATCTACTGTAATCATCACTGCGAACAGATTTTAACCTCTTCTTTCCTCTTTTTGTTGACCTGTGAATAGGGATGTACTTGAATATATGTGCTTTTATGAGTAAATTGATAAGGAAGTGCATTGGCAGATACAGAATTTACAGCTTTTTTACAGCAGCCATTTTACAGTTAAAATTGCACTGAGATTTTAAGGAGCTAGTACGGTTTCCTGACGTTTTGGCATAATAAGACATAGGAATTGTAGTTCAACCAAGAACATTAATTTCAGCTCCACTGGAAACAGATAGTGAGTGTGACATTTACTAGGCAGAAATAAAGTAAAGAGGAATGTTGTGTAACTGAACATTAAAATAAGGAAATGTGAAGATGAGGGGTGGGAGAGAGAAATTTAAGATCCCTGGTAAGGAAATCTTCACAGTAATACAGTTCTGCAGAGGACATTTTACCAGAAATATAAAATTGTCTGAAACTCTGTTTACTCCAGTGCTGTATGCCAGCTTACCATCCTCAAAAAAAGAAAAAAAGAGAGAGAGAAAGGAAGGTAAATGTGGTAAGAGAAAGGAGACCATTGGAACAGAAAATGCCCTCTGAATCACAGGCGCCATCTCAGAGCATCTGGGCTAAGATTCCACAAAACATGTAAACATGTGCTACCAAGAGTTTTGTGTGAAATACCTCTTTATCTATCCCAGGATTTTTTTTTGGTGAAAATAGAAAGAACTGTTTAATTTTTACATAAATATTTATTTGATATTTTTAAAAATCAAACCACAAAATTCACAAATAGTTTTTAAGAAATCTAAAAACCTTCAACAAAATATTTAAAGCCATGTCTAATACCATTTTCAATTGAGGTTGTGCCCTGGTAGAGTTAAGTGTTTGAGTACCTTAGTGAAACCAAGACATGAAGCACATGAATAGCTTTATTCATGTCTCAATGGAAAATACTCATTTGGCTAACACAGCACATGTACTTAGAATGTTTTCAGCAAGAAGAGAAAAAAAATCCTGAAATATTTGTAAGCAAGAAACCTTTTCTCCCAAGTGGTGCTGCTGTAGGTGGTCGGTGCAAGAAGTGTACTCATGTGCTTGGAGATGTGTAGACGCAGTCTTTTAAGAGCTGCTTAATGACACTGAATTGTTTTGAAACATTGTGTACTCTCTGAAGCTAGACGACAGTTCATTTATTATTAAATACTTCGAGTCAAAAATGCTACTCACATCTCATAGTGAAATCTAGGGAAGCTGTGTCTTCAGTCCTGAGTGGACTTGGAGAAAAAACAGGATCCTAATTGGAATAAACTAAAAAACCTAGCTCTGTTGCTTTCACTTTCTTCCAGCTGATCTACACCATTCTACCACATGCTAGGTAAGGATGGAGGCTCAGAGAGTGCTTTCAGGCATTCACACAGTTAATTTCTGTACATTACAAATGTGAACTTCAAACAATTCCTGCTTGGTTTTCAGTGTACTTCAGTCATCGCAGAACAAACAGTTCCATGTCTAAATAATCCAAACCTTACCTGTAGAAAAACACACCATTCTAACCATCATGCTCATCTCCTTGTGTTTTGTAGCTGTACTTAGACACCAGTTGGTTGCTAAAATATTAATTGGCATAAGTCTTTTTTTCTGAAGTATAAAATTGGTGCAATTGGAATTGCTTTGAAAATAAGTTCATATAAACTCTTTTCATTTTGTTGAGGGTATTTTTCCAGGCTGTTTTAGAGGAGCAACCTGCCTTTTATTTACCCTTTTCTAGCTGCTGCATTTCTTTAGACATCTTTTACCCTCAGTGCTTATTAACCTCTAATCCTGCCCTGCATTGCATCTGTCTATTCTCCCAGATCCAGAATCTAAGGAAAGAGAAGTTACCCGTCGCTTTTCCCTAGCTTCCTCCATCAGCACCACAGTTAATGCTTCTGCTGTGACCAAAGGTATTGTCATGCTGCTTGCTTAGCTACCCTTCTCGTTCCTGCTTACTGATACATATACTGCCAAATGATGTTCACAGAGTGAGTGCATCAGGTTCAAATTTTATATATGCAAGGGGTTCCAGTAGAAGGAGTGTTAGGATCAGTATAACACCTGCAGAGAGGCAGGCCACGACAGTCTGAACGTCCATCAAGGTGTGCTGCCAGTGCACACAGTGACTCTTCTCAGTTTCTCCATAATAGACTTTAAAGAGTGGTGCTAGTTTCCATGGAAACTATCTTAATTTTTGGCTGATGTGGGACTAGTTTTTCCAACTTCTCCCTTGTTCAGATTAACTGAAATTCAATAGAAATTATTTCTCCATTTCCTTGAAGCTGTTCAGGAATTTTGCTTTCAAGGAGAGAATCTTCTCACTTCATAGCAGATGTCAGATGGTAAACAGGCCTGAAATCAAGCCAAAAAATGGAGTAGTAATAGATGCCAGCTTTAAGCATATTTAGCATAATCACATTTATGATTAGAAATTGTGTTTGCAAGGACATTTATAGGCATGGTAGGTAGGTGCCTAGACCTCACTGAACTCTGCAGTTTATGTGGGAATTTATCATTTTTATGTTGAGCTGTAATTATTTTGAAAAAAGTCAGTTTTACAAAATTTACTTTAAGTTACTGCATTAGTGCCTACATTTAAACTCAAAAGCAACCCATGGGTTTGTAGGCACCTATGCCTACATGTCAGACTTACTTTTGATAACAGATGTTCTTACATCAAATTCTGAATATACTGTCCTTTGTCACTTCCTGGAACAAAGTGGAGGAACTGATTTGCAGGGCATCTCACAAACCAAAATAGAAGGAACAATGGCTGAATTCATTTGTATAAAAATATTTTCTATATATTTATCAGGAAGAAGGTTGCAGTGTTATTTTATTCTAAATAGTTGTGAAGGATATGAACCATATTCTGGACTGTGCAATGAGCCAGTCATGAAACAAGGTCATGGTGGGGTTTATTGGCAGAGGAAGGATGTGATATTACCGCTACCTACAAATGTTTCTTTGCCAACTTCTTTAGATCATAACACTAAAACATCACCAGTTAGAAATGATTGGCACAGAAGAGGAGAAGACATTCTCATAGCTTTCTGTCGTCAGTAACAACTTCAGACATATGTGATCAGTTGCTAAGTTACCGGAAGACACAATTATTTCCTACTATTTATTAACGAAGCTGGGGACCACAGAAAGAAGCACATATGCACAAAGACAAAGGGCAAACAGGTTGTTCTTTCATGTGGCTTATCAAAGACAGCATGTATGAATTACATTGAAATTCAAACTTTGTTACAGTTTCATATAAAGAAATCCTGTCCTAGGATCCTGTCCTCCATAAGACTGTTGGCAATTTCTTGAATGCTGAGAAAACTGCTTTTGTAATGATTGTAAAAACAAAGGGGGGTGGGAAATCAGTGATTTTCTATTAAGTATTTTATTTACAGCATCTGCTTTAAGAAAGTATTTCAGTTTAAAAAAGAGCTGAAACCTGAGTCATGTCTCAGCATCAGCCAAATGCAGGTCTAGCTGGGGTGTTTGGATCATCAGATGCAAGGCTACTGCATACTGCTGCACGCTGATCCTCACTGCTAACAGTTCAGCTCCATCGCATCACCAGTCCTCCACATGTGGAGTCAGGGTACTGGAGGAGGATCTATGACGGATGCCTTCCAGTCCAGTGGTGCATAAATGCTGGCTTTCGTGGGCTCTTCCCTGCCAACTTCATGGATAAAAAGCTGAGATTGTGACTCAGTCTGGTTAGTGCCATCTCCCGGGCAAGAGCAAGAGAAAACATCTGTGAAATGTGAATGGAAGCAGGTACACTTAGTTACAGTCCACTGTCGTGTAAAAAGGGGTCTGTTTCCTGTCCACATCACGAAAGTGTTAATCTTCACCACCTAGAATTTAGGGGTTGGTCATTCTTCTGGTTGTAATGGGAAGTATTAGGCAGGTAGTGTTTCTAGGAAATGGGAAAGCAAGTTTCTCCTTTAACAATATTTACAGACTTATGACTCTGCAAACTTCACACAGGTCCCCTTGTTCCTGCAGTTAAAGTCAAGAGACATGAAATAAAGAGTGACCCAACTCCCTTGGGGTTTGAAGGTACGAGTGTTTCTATCCTGCATGAAAACCTGTTTGGCCATCTTTTGGTATTATTCGCTGGATTCACATGTCATCACTGCTAGCAGACAAACACTGGAGTCCATTAGGGGCTTGGTGTCAGTTCTCTGTTTAACTGTGATAAACACAGCTTGTCACCCCATTGCCTGTCCCCTGCACTCATATTTACCAACTTTCACCTAGGGATGGGCCTAAAACCATAATTCTCTGCCTGTTTGGAGAAGTAATGTCTAGAATATCATCTGGATCTGGACTTTCTGCCTGGCCTTTGCCTCGCTCCATAGAGTGCAGCAGCAGGGAGCCAAGGGGCAACTTTTCACTTTCACCTGCAGTCTGGTTGCTTGCGTCCATCTTCCCTTGTTAGTGTCTACACCTAGTAACAGAAGGAGGAGCCATGTGCATGAAGACTTCAGAAGAGGCTAGACTGTACATTAATATTCATTTAAGGTGCAGTGTTTCATTTCAGCCAAGCAGAATTTCTACCTATTTCTTGCAGCAGATTCATCAGTTACTGTTTAATATCACCAAAGCGTTCAGCTAGTGAAAGATCAATGGCTTCCATTGTCAGCTTTCTCCTTTACATGGGGATTTACAATCACATGTTGACTTGTGGGGCACAGGCAGCCAGGAACCCATGCTGCAAGACAGGGAGGAGAGATTCAGGCTGAGGAATCCTTTCTTAGGATTGTGCTGATCTGCACAAAACTTTGGCAGGGACCAGATCAGTGATGGAATCAGTGACGTATCAGAGCTATCTTCTATGTCTCTCTCAGCAGAAGAGAAGAATAGAACAGAGAGGCTGGAAGAAACAATTCAGAGCCAGCAGAGGAAATAGTTTTGCTGTTTGCAGAATATGTCTCTTTGCCAGTGACCACAGCAGTATGTTTTGAATCATCCTGGTACCAGTACCAGAGTTTCTCAAACTGTGCTGTTTATATCTCACTTTCATCACTCGCAGATATTTCTGATCCAGCAAACCATGTGGCTGCAGAGGTAGGGAGTATTTCAAGGAGCAAGTACTGTCCACAGGACAGAGCTGAGTTGATCCTCAGTAGTTAAAACATGGTTCTACACCATCCCTCTACAACATCCTTCGCCAAACTGAGAGGGAAACAATTAACATTAGCATCCCTTTACAGGAGATACTGCTGCTGTTGCCAAGGCTCTGACAGAGATAATAACACAAAGGATTTGATGTATTTGGATAAAAACTTCCCCCACAAAATTGCATTGCATTCATCAAGTGTGAAATCATTAATTTCTGGCTGAGCAGGAGAGTCTCCCTGGTCTACTTCCATTGCTGTATGGGTGAGCATCAAAACCATATGCCATCACCTACAGAACTGTTTAAAATGCTGCAAGGAAAACGTGTTAAAAATGTGTAAGGAAGCTGTACTGAAATAGAACACTGCACTGTTCACTCAACAATCATTCTCCTTAATTAACATCAGTATTTCTGTTTGATTCAGTTGGCTGTTTGCTGTCCTTCTCAGACTTACAGTTTTTCTGTGGAATGCTGCCATCTTTTCACTCATTTGTGCTGGTCACATGTCTCCTCTTTTATAACTGTTGGACCCCAGTCCACCTGTTCGTTAAAGGGACTGCCAGCTGCAGAGGTGATTGATACAGGAATTCACTTTGTACTGGTTGTCTGATAATTGTTTCACCCTGAAGACACAAACTGTACTTCCTGTCACAGATGCTTTTGAGAACACCATATTGGCCCAGACTAAATGTAATACCAGTTCCACCATGAGACCCGTACCTAGATCTGCTTCACAGACAGGTAAATGAAATTAAAACATTTATCATCTCAATTTGAGAGTGTAATATAATTTAGGATAATATTTACTCTCTCCCACTTCAAGAGATTTTTCTTTTTAAATGAGTATTATTTCCCATGAAAGCAATGAAAGAACAAGCTTGGATCACTAGCAGGTAGAGAAACAATGCCCCATATTCTGGTTTTCTGTAACTCAGGCACAGCTAAAAATAATTATTTTAATTGATGTCAGAGAGCTCACAATTTGATCTGTGTTATTTTATAGCTTGAATTAGGTGCTCAATATTTAGGCTATTTCTTCGTCTCTGAAATTAGAATAGCGATTTCTATGGAAGAAGAAGACTGATGCATATATTTATAAGGAATCCTTGCTGCTCAGGTTTCTGCGGATGTCAGTGGCAAAAGATAACTTCAACTTTTTCTAAGGGGAAGAGAGATATATTTTTCTTTTGTCTTTTGTTGCCCAACCTGTGAATTTGAACTGAAATTGCTGTAATGGTTTGGAGCTAGATAGCATCAGTGTATTCCTCTGCATTTAGACATTTGTTGGTATTTTGCTGGTGTGATTCAGATACGGAATATGGGGTTCAGTTCTATATGCTGCATGATCTGTAACTGAAATGGTCTTTTCTGACTCAAAACTCTGTTGGTATAGACCTTGGCAGGGACTCTCACAACCTAGCACACGAATGCCACTTCAGTGGCTAGTTTTCACCTTGAATTCAGATGACCTAACAATACCTACAGGGTTATAACTGGGGATGATGCTCTGCTGGAAGAAGATCACTGTCTCTTTTGTAACCAAATGGGGGCATTTGGGGCAGTCACAGCCCCAGCATAAGAGGAGAGAGAAGAGGCTGCAGAACTGCATGACCACAAGTTGAACCAACCAGTGCCTGTAACAGGGAAGATGTGCATGGGGAGGGATTAAATAAATTGATGAGTAAACCTATTTTTCTCAGATTAGATCACTTTTCTGTTTACTGCCTGCACTGCCTGGCTTGGGTTTTGTATTGTCTCAGGCCAGGTTTTACTGTGGGTTATGACTGCTGGGTTATGCATAATCCCACTGCATGAGCATTTGTCTTTGTGCCTTGTTGTTAGAGCAGTGCTTTGCCTTGTCAAGAGCGCAGCCCACAGCCTGTAAACAACTTGATTCAGCATCTGCTTAGGCTGAGTCCCTGTGAATCAAGTAATGCACAGCAGGGGAATTAAGTAGGAAGGCACATTGATTTGACTAACTCCATTCATTTTATAATCTGTTAAGGCTATTGAGGTTTCCTCCTAGCTGGACTGTAGTCATCCCTGTCAGAAAAGGGACAGGTATCAAGTGTAAAGGAAAGTGCAGATTATGATTGCCATCTGTGTAGAAGAGTCTGAGTTACTTTTACACCATGGGAGCATCAGGCAGGTCTTATAAGGCTTAGCCTAAATTTCCCTCAGGACACATCCTCTGGATATGCCTTTGTAGGTAAAGAGTCTGGCTGTTGTGCTTGGGCTGTAAATCTGTCATTAAGTCCCTTCCACTGGGCTGGGGTGGTATTGGGTTGAAATCATACAATAAGACTGCGCACAGCAGAAATTAATGAGATCTTCTCTACCTACTACCAAGGTCTGGTTGTCTTTGTGCCTTGTTCACTCTGTCCCTTCCCTGCACTTCCAACCTGCCCCAGAGGATAGTCTTGTAAGTTGGTCAGGTGGTAATATCCTGTCAAGGGTGTCAAGGAGATAAGAAGTCAACCAAAATTCAATGACTTCAGATTTCAATTTATAAATAAACATGTGGAAGTAAGGTGGAAACTGAATGAGTGTGGCCTTCTGAAAATCATGTCAGCAAAAGTTATCATTTGCTATGATGCTTGCTCTACAGAAATACTCTTGGTGCTTGTTTTATGTACTTCCAGAACTGAAGAGATTTAGCAATGCTAAATGCTCAAGGTATTGTTGGGTGTGAATACCGTGGCCACCTGTCTTCACTCCCACAAATGACAGCAAGCAGTACAGGCTTTTAGACAGAATAATGGTTGCAATGTAATTTTAATGGCTGTAAAAAGGCACAAGCAATTCAGTAAGCGGAATAGTGGGAAGTGAAGTTGAAATTTGTTTTTAAAAGACGGAGTCTGAAAGAGGCTAATGACTGATAGCTAACTCTTTTTATTTTACTTCCTTTGAAAAGGTTGGCCCAGCAGGCAAATGCCATCTCTAGACACATTTGAGGACTTTGAAGCCATCCCCTCCAGCACAGATGAACTTTCCAACTCTTCTGACTTGGAGGAAGAGACCAACCCTAACAATGTAATTCTTTTTTCAAATTGCACTGCCTCTTCCCAGTGTCGCCTCCTCTTCTCTAAAGATCACAATTTTACCGCAAAGTTTGGGGTTATACTGGCCCTAAATTCATGGTTGTGTGGGAATAAAGAAGATGGAAACTCATCTGGAGTGTTGGGGGATTATTCCAAGACTGCTTTGTGGATCAGGACCATAAAGACTCACCCCTGCTTGTAAGCTGTAGTTTTACCTGTTACTGAAGTGAGTTATTGAAACCTCTCAGCCTTTAAAAAAGTTATTTCAGACTTTTCCAGGTAACGTGACCTGGTGTCACAAACCCAATTTTTGTGTCAGAATAATGGCTGGCTGGTTAATTCTAAAACCTGAGTGCACAGCACAGTTCAGTCCCAGGTTTGAATAATATATAACCTGAGCGTGATAAAAAAAGAAGTGACACAATTCCCTACAGAAGAAATCTGCCATCTTTAAATGCCCAATACAGTATTTAACTAAACTCGCTCTCTCTTGCACAGTATTCTTTCAACCATAGTGACTGTATTTCTGGTGCATGATTTCATTCCTTTTAGGGGACCAATCTTTTTCGGGTAGAAGGCAGTTTTGACAGCTGTTTCTCGGATTCTTTTACACTCGAGGATGGAGATTTAGTGCAATTTGTGCAGAAAGGAGAGAACGGTCAACGGTAAGTACAGAAGAGAGACAGAATCTTACAGATAGAACAGCCATAACTTTCTGGAAAAGATGGAAAATATTGACAAAAATCAATCCAAATCCATTCATCCTATTGACCAAAATACGAAAGAGACAGCTGGAGGCATGAACATACAAGCAGCTTTTGTTAATTTCACCTGGTTGGTTTTCATCCCACGTGCTTGTGATATGAGGGTTAAGAGGATGGAAATTTGCATAAAGGAAACAGGAGAGTATCTGAGCTTTTGACATTTAGCCAGTTGTCAAGGCAGCACCCTCCCATAGGATACATCAGTAAAATCCCCATGCCTTCCACTGAGCTGCAGCGGTGAACCAGAGAGCATTTTTAGCCCCAAAAGCTTAGATATAAAATGTGGTTGACAAAGTGGAATGAATCTGGCCCCCTTGAGCTTACTTATATTTTAGTGTATTCTCTTGCTGACAAGTGAGTGTTAGGAATGGACCTGGCTGGACATCTGAATTTTCCTTCCATGGGTAATTTGGAGGAAGAAGATCTCATCTCCTAGGAGTGCTCATGTATTCAGACCCTTCACTCAGAACTGACATGTAGCTGAGATGGGAACAAGTCCTGCAGGGTGAAGTAGGTGGGAAGGTAGCTAAACCCATCCATCCTGGATGGAATTTACAACAAAGGGGATAGGTAATATAAAATATTAATTTTCTTCAGCTCTAAATTTGATCAAGGGTCTCAAACACAGGCCAAGGCCACTGGTTCCTTGTCATATAGTCTGTTTGCAAGTGTGCTTGTTCTAGGATATGAGATCACCGTATGAGACTGCTGAAACTTAAGTCACTGGCTACCTGTTGGACTGCCCAGGTCCTCTGCCTTCTTCCTTAGTTTAGGAAATAGCTGCTCAACGTGCACCTCTAAGAAACAAAACCCGGGGAAAAGGTATCTAGAGAAATTCAATGACTGTTCTCTGAATTTCAGGTTAGTGAAGAAACTCATCTCCGAGAAAAGCGACTGGGTTCCTTCCAGTATATTGCAGCCAGCAGAGGGGGACAGTAACAACATAATTAAGAACAGCAATGCAGGTAAGGGAGAAAATGTATTACTGGCATTTGTTTTTTTCTTTTTTCTTTTTTTTTTTCATACTAAAGAAGAATGTGATAAATGCTGCGTCTATAACAGTGCCTCAGTGTACATCTGTGCTGCAGCCTCTGGTGTTGCAGCTCAGCTAGCCTGAAATTTGATGATGTGGGTATCAGATCTAGTTAGTCAGAGCAGCTTACCTTGGCATGGTTTAATTGTCTTTCCTTTCCTGGGCAGAACTTGAATCTCCTACCAAATTCCTGAGTCTTCCAGTACCGAGGCTGGCTACTTTACAGCTAGCCCAAGTGTGTCATATGGTAGGGTATGTTATAACTGCAGCAAAGCTTTCATCCTGACTTGGGTAGTTTCTGAATTTAGATTAGCATCTGGGCTGTGGTTCTGGTCTAGGTTTGAAAACATAATCTCATGAACCTTTATGGGTTTCATCATATTTCACTGCTAGCTCCAAAGGCTGGAGTGTTAAGGCAGATCAGCACTAAAAGTCATCCTTTCTTCAGCTTTGGTTCTGACCTAACACCCAAACATGTTGCACTGGCAAAGCTGAATCTTAGCTACTCAGATTAAAGGTTTATAGTTTTAGATTCATTTTTGCCCATCCTTAAGTATGATTTACTAAAATGTGTCCTATTTTTCTTCTGCTAACAGAAGAAAGCAAAATCTGGCATAGCCATTCCTATGGGATCTGTGATAGAGAGCTACTAGCATTTTATTCTGAGTTACATGTTTCTTTCGATTTTAGTTTTGGGTTAATTTGGGTTTTTATTTTTAATCAGTTTGTTGAAGTGAAAAAAACATTTCTGAAAGTTAACCAGGGTTCTTTGCTGTGCTTTAAAGGGAGTTTGGGAATTGTTGCTCCTTCACCTCCAAAGCAGGTCAGTTCTGTCTTTACCCTCAGTGCCTAACTGTGTCTTTTCATTTCTTTGACATGTCTAATACTTCAAAACAAAAATAAAGCCATACATACATTACAGTTAGTTATATGCCAAAATAACCTCCATTGCCTTTAGTGAGAGAATTAGGAGAGCAGTAGAATTGTGATTATTTTTTATTTTATTTCATGTTTTTAACAATAAATCTCAAGAATGTAGATGGGATGTCCTTTAGACAAATCGCATGACAATGCCCGTGTCTTCCTTTTCAGACATATACAATGATTCCTGCAGTACAGCCTCAGTAGAGTCAGACACCAAGGAGAGCGAGGTGGCCAAAAGCTTCCCAGCAGAACAGATGGCTGGCAGCTGAACAGCAGGACCGTCCTTCCTCAGGACCTCATCCATTTCTCTTTAATTTTGGGTGGACACTGGATTAAAGTTGCCTTTCTCACAAGGTTCATCATTCACTAAAACATTATCAGCATGAACATTTGAGAACTATGTTGTCCACCTGGCAAGCTGGGAAACACAACCTTAAAATGAGCATTAAACATCCAAAAAGGATTGAAACCCATTCTCAGTATTAGAGGAGAAAAATCCTTCTCACATTATCAAACTATTTCAGAAGATGTGGCCTAAATTAGGTCAACAGCAGAGCTGAAGAGTTACTATGCACGCACCTTTTGGCAACTTCACTTGAACACCAAGTTACTGCAGAAGGGCACATGCATGGTGATGAGTTCTTGCTCTACCATGGGGTCACCTGGAGGCTTTTCTGTTTGCTGACCTCTGGCTGTGCCTTCCCCATCCTCCTTAATTCCAGCTGATACATCACAAATGGACCCTTTTTGCTGATGGTCAACACCAAAACCATCCCATTTTAGGTGGTTGTGGTAAGAAAACTTCTGACTTCAACCATCAGAGAGGTTTCCTGCAGCAATGATATGACTGCTTCTGGAATGGCACAGCAAATGACCTGCTGCATAGAGAATTGTGTTGGAATGGTACAGATAGCAACTCCTGGCTATGAGATGGAGGTGCAGGACTTAGGGAAACAAAGATGTGTAACAGCTACTGTGACACAGAACATTTGAACTCTTTACAATATAAGTCGTACCCCTCTCCCCTCTGCAGTCTGTGGTTGCTGGATCACAATCCTTTCCATTTGGTGCCGGGAATTCAATCGAATGCCATTTTATGTCGTATGTTTGATTAGACTGCATGCTTTCTTTGTGTTCTACGCTATGGAGTAGATACGTTTCATCCCCCATTTGGAAGATACTTAAGCATTGCAAATAGGCAGTGAGCATTAGATGCTCCAGTGAGTGGATAGATTGTTGTTAAATACTTCTTTCCAGGACATTTGATTAAAAGACTACAAAATCTCTGCCATAAGGCTGTAATGTATAATATAAAATTATCACAGATGTTATTATTCCTCTGTAAGCCATTAGCTCATTTAGAGCAGCTGTTAAGGCATGAAGGGCTTTTGATGGCAATTGGGCCTTAGGTCCCACAAAAGCTGCTGATACTTTAGTAAAGATAAGTATTGACTAAGGGTTGTAAACAGGCAAAGATCAGCCTGGTAAAAATTACCCTAGAAGCTCAAGAGTGAATGATTGGCTTTCACTATTAGTTATTTTTGGTTTAACACTGAGACTAATGGTGCTGTATGTAAATAACAAAGAGGGACGAAAGCACTAAAAATAGAGATGATGCAAAACCAAACCCCACTCTTTAGTATCTGAGCTTCTGAGCAAATCGTAGGGCTCAGTATCATTACTATTATTTTTTCAGGGACCTGAATGCTTTTCCCTGTGTCTCTGGAGGCTGGCATTACAAATATCTTAGTGTATGAGTCAGGATAGCTGTGAAGAAGGTAGATAGTCCCATTCAAGAAAAAGCCTTAGAGCAGGTAAAGGCTTACTCAGATTTTGTTTGCCTGTGAAGGCTTGTTGGTTAATTATGAGTTGTATTGTGGTGGTTAATTCCCATGGTTCTTCTAACCCTCAATATCTAAATTCTGTGATTTCTGACATTTTTTTCATGACTAAAGGACCTGAGAGTTCTGTACCCTTTTGGAAGCTAATTTTGTCCTACAGACATATGAACTTGTCTGTTGTGTGCTGGTTATTTACCTTAAAAATGACACATGGCCTCTCAGGAACATGAATCCTATTAGTCTACTGTAGTCATGAACATCTCGAGGGAAGAATTAATTCTTTTCAGTCCCCTAAGGAAATATGCTGTGATGTTTTCTTGCAGTGCAGTTACTTTATGATCTCCCCAAAATGAGTTCATTTTGATTTCTGTATCGCTTTGAGTAATTTTTGCATGACCTGATAGAAGAGGAAATGGGTAGGGAGCTTTGATTGAGCATTGATAAATATAGTAAGCTTGTGTATTACGTGAGAGAGAAAGATAGGGAAGGGTTACCATGGATATATGAAACTGGCAAAAATAGGACTTGTGACATTGCTGACAGATGGAAAGATGCAAACCTGCACTTTGGAGTTTCTTTACAGGAATCTCATTCTAATGACGTGAAATGGCAGTGGGAAGGCTCTGTTTGAATAGGAAATGGAAAATCAGGTATTGCTGGTCCATTTCCCAGCTCTGTTGTGTGAAGGGTGACAGTGTGCTAGTCCTGTATCCCTGGTGCCCCAATATCTTCCTAAAACTGGAAAAAAATTGGAGCTGTTTGATTGAATTATGATGCTAAATTTTAGCATGTGTTCAAAAATCGGGGACCCTTCAGGGGAAAGCAAAACATTCAACCCCATGTGCCCTGCTGTACCCTCCATGAGTGTCAGTAGTGGTATCCTGTGAGGCACCCTAGAGCTTGAACAGGGAAGATGATTGCTACAGAAATGTATCCTGTCACCCAACTCACCATCTTGTCATGTCAACTGCAAAGGTATGGGCTGGATTACAACAATTTTCCTCCCTGCTTTGCTTTTGAAAAGGTTGGGGTTTGGTTTGTTGGATTTTATTCCCCCCCCTCAATCTTATGTTTTATCCTGTTTGACCAAAGTTTGAGTCACTTCTGCACCGTGAATATCCTGAGGATGACAAGTAACTCACTGCTCCATGGCCGTGGGCAGCAGTGACACAGCACCCTGGCTCTCAGTGGCCTTTGGGAGCGGCTTGTATCGCAGCTATCCTTGGACACTACTGTACCTGAGCAGGGAGCCCACAATCACTAGTTGTGTCTTTAACCTTCCTGCAGTGCCAGTGAGCCAAAAGCTGTTTCTGCCTGTTTCTGTCTCCACATTCCGAGCTCAGACCATTCTGCAACTGTGGCAGCTGCTGCTGGGGAGTGACCCAGGCCCTTTGCCTGGTTGATGCCTGTGGTGCAGATGTCAGTGAGACAGTGCCACACTGCTGGCTTTGTGTTTTTAAAGAGAGAAGTTCTGTGACAGATCAGGCTGCTGACAAGTCTGAGAACAGCCAACAAGAAATAACCCTCTGGCTTTGCTGATGAGACAAAATGGGGTTTGATTTTTTTTTTCTTTTTAATTAGTAGATGGGGTAGTCTTTTAATGACTGTATTTCTGTCAAGCGAGGCGATAATTAAGGGAATGACTCTTCATGTACAGCCTAGAATATGATTTAGTGATGTCTAGCAAGACTAGTGTGTGCATTAAGGTATACTTATTCTGTATGTAGGTCTTTGACACCATAATTTTCAGGTAAATAGACCTAAAAGTCATAGTTTTCAAATATAGATTTCATTTCAGTGTTTGGTGAAGAAGAGAGTGAACAGGTCATTTAAAAGTAGTGGTTGCTACTAAGTTTCAGTAGTAGAAAATGTCCAAGGTGTCTCTCTGCTATAGCAGCACTCATGATTGAGCATTGTACCCTTGCTGCTCGATCAGTGAGTTTGTGCCTGCTGTCTGGCTGTTCTCTCTGGGTTGGACTAGTGACACCTGCCCTCTGGGCTGAGGTTTTGATTTGGATTTCCTTCCTCTGCTCTGCTGCCATCTTCTCTGAAACTTTTAAAACTTCACAACCTCAAAACTGCCTCTGCTCAGCTGGGTGTAGACTCTTTCCTTGTGTACTGTAATGACAAACAGGTAGATGGGCAGTTGCCATGATACACAGGTCTTGCTTTTAGTAAACCACGCTAAACTATAATGAGGCCTGACCCTCTCCTCCTCTCCCGTCTAACCCCACTGGGTGAAGAATCAGACCAATGGCCGTTGTCTTGATCCTAAATGGCTGCGGCCGAACCACATGTGAACACTGGCTTTTCTTGCCAGTGACAACAAAGCTGTGTGTGTGTCTTATATTCTGGTTGTGTATGTGATGGAAAGCCATTTTATTACTTGTAATTTTCTTAGACTCTTGAGATTTCAAACAGGATTGGGTATGAGGAAGGCCATGCACTTCCTTTCCAGAAATACTCAACTTCAAATATGTATATGATTAGAAATATATAAGAATAATAATAATAAAAAGAGCCAAATTGTGTATTTCTTCTTGCAGATGGAGCTGAAATAGCTGCTAAGATTTCTTCTCCCCAGCTAAGTGGTTTTTTTTCTTACATCTTTTCATGGTGTTGATAATGATGTATTTGTATATTGTGACTGATGAGATAATCAGACAGGGAAAGAGCACAGAATTACCTGTTCTTTTTTCCCAGTCAAAACAGAATGTATGAATTTATTACAAGAAAAAAAATGTGCAAATGAACTTCCTGTAACCAGGCCATTCTGACCTGTGTAGAACCCCACTTTGTTTGAAATTTATAAAAATTATAACTAGTACAAAACGTTGTGGTTGGTGTCTCTATCTGAAGTAAAGTCACATGAGCTTGCTTTCTACTCAGAATAAATGAGTGTCAATAAAGGCACATCATCATGGCTGAAAAAATCCACACATCTGTCCAGTATAGCTTTCTTTGTCCAACACACATGTCACAAAAGGCACAGTGTTTTTTTCCTGTTACCCATGTCCCTTAGTCATGTTCCTGAATCCCTGAGACTATTAGGAGAATGCAAAGGCTCACACAGTTCAGTGCTGCACATGCTAATGCTGCAGCCAGAAGGCAAGGAAGTTGTAGGATAACTTATAAGATCTCTGCATACCTTTGGCTACCAGCGTTTTATTAGGCTAGTTGACCCAAATGCATGTTATGGATCATGTAGAAGGCAAGCAGGTAAAAATGGGAATGTAAAAACATAATGCAAATAGAGAAAAATACATTGGAACTAATGTCATTCAATACCCAGATTTCTGGGAGCAAACTTCAGTTCACTTGAGTTTTCAAGTCATTGGCTGTATCATGTTACTGCAGTGCAATATTGGTATGAGAAAATGAAGACTTAGGACCACACCAGATCCCATGTGTGGGTCTTGCTCCGTTCCTGTCGTGGTTTAAGCCCAGCCAAGCAGCCTCTCTCTCACTCTCCCGCCTTCCTCCTCCCACTCCCGGTGGGATAGGAAGGAGAATCGAAAGAATGTAACTCCCACGGGTTAAGAACAGTCCAGTAACTAAGGTATAACACAAATCACTGCTGCCACCACCAATAACAACAAATAAAAAGGGAAGAGAACACAACTGCTCAACACCCACTGACCGATACCCAGCCCAACCGAGCAGTGATCAACCCTTCCGGGTAACTGCCCTCAGTTCTACATCCTGGGCATGACGTGCTGTGGTATGGAATACCTCTTTGGCTAGTTTGGGTCAGGTGTCCCGTCTCTGCTTCCTCCCGGCTTCCCCTCCTCCCTGGCAGAGCATGAGATTCAGAAAGTCTCTGGTCAGACTAAACAAGCAACAGACTAAGCAACAACTAAAAATATCGGTGTTATCAGCGCTGTTCCCAGGCTGAAAATCAAACACACAGCACTGCACCAGCTACTAAGAAGAAGAAAAAATGACTGCTACTGCTGAACCCAGGGGAGTTCCCCACACCAAGCAGTCCCCATGGCAAAGACGGGGGCTGGAAATCCAGCCACACACATGAGTGGGGGTAACATTCTCCGGCTGCAGATCTCTGGTGCACAGCCACACGTGCTGGGACCTGCCTGTTCAGCGCCTGTCCCAGCTTGGCATGGTTTCCAGGGGGCACTTCATGGGTCATAGGTGGGGCATTGCTATTTGCCAAGGAGTGTGTTTGGATGCAAGACTAATGGTGAGTCACCACAGCTGATCCACCTTCTACAAGCTTAGCTCCTGGAGCAGGGCTGAACCAGACAGCAAAGGCTGCTGACAGTCCCTAGATGGGCAAAGCGCGTTTGGGGCTTTGCTCAGCCTTGTCTTGCTTTTAGCAGGTGCTCTGTGGAGTTGGCTCAGGATCACACCTCTCCCTTCTGTGCCTTAGTATAGAAGAACGAATTTGGCCCTAAGGAAAGTACATTTTAAAAAGAACACAGGAAAAGCACTGATTTACAGGTTGTATCCTTCCACTGGGGCACAGCTGCAGTCTGCACCTGGTTATGAAACCGGAGAGAGGTGCGTGAAGCTGTATGTGGCTTGCAGAATGCCCCAGCTCTCAGCTGGAGAGTGAGAGCCTGTTCTCCCCGCAGTTAGCCCAGCAGTCCCTTCTGTTTTCACTTCCTGTACTAACCATAATTCATTTTCTTCTGCAGTAGTTTACAGATGAGAGGCACGGTCTCCCCCTCTCTCCCCACCTCCTTTCCAGCCATGTGACTGAGCACTCCCTGCACCAAGTGAAACTTTCCAGCCCCCAGGAAACCTTGATCTCCTTTCCATTTGCTCCACAGCAAGAAGCAGCGTCTCTCAAACCTGCTGGCCATGGGGAGGAGCAAATGGCAATTCATCTTGCTAGCCTTCACCTGTGGTGAGTAATATCCTCCACCATTTCTATGAGGAAAATGAGGTAGACCATGCTGGCTTTGTTTCCTTGCAGTCAGGACAGCACCTAACAGACTGAAAAATTTAAATAGTTTTGTTGCTAGCACTAAGGGCTTTTAGTAAAGTCCCACTGCTAAGAAATAAGTAGAAATAGATTTCACTGCAGCTGATATAGTTGATCTGATATTTTCCTGTGAATTTTCCCTTGCAGTCTGTGGTGATGAACTCTGACCGTGTGATGGAGTGAGTTCAAAATAGTATTAGAAGCAGACTTTTTTGGGCTTGCTTTTCTTAATTAAAAATTATTTCCAGACCAGCAGAACTGACAAGCAGAATAAGAACTAAGGAAGCGCTGCTTGAGTAATTTGACTGCATTGCAAGATGGAGAGCATGATCAGGAAAGCAAGAGTGAGGTAGAGGCTTGGAAAAGGCAGGCTGGGGCTTATTTCAGTGACAAACCACATCACAGTCACCCTCCAATCCTTAGTGCTGCTCTGTGAATCTGTGGAGCCAGCCTGACGAAGGATGTGACCCAGCATGTGAAGTCATCCCTCAGCACCCGCAGCAGTACAAGATCTGCCAGATTGAGAAAGAGTTTGACTTAATCTGTGTAATGGCTAAAGGTTTGAGCTCACTGGTGGGGCACTGGATTTCTGCAGTGGGCTTTGCCATTGGCACACAGGGATCAAACAAGTAACAACTTCTGTCCCCCTCCCAGTGAAGTGAACAGGGAAAAAGCTCAGGGGCTCAACCATAAGCATCTCACACTGTTATCTGCTCTGCTTTCCTGCAACCACTTCATAGACAGAGTCTGTTGAAGTAGCTTCCAAACATATACATGAAAGGAGAGCAAGAATCAGACTGAGGAAGTAACACTAATAACTTAGTGTCAACAAGGACCTTTTTGACCAGAAAGGGCAGAAAGAGTTTGTTTCCTCAGCTCCTTATCCATTTTTGATCATTCCTTATAAAGGTTTATTAATGCCACAAAGTCAAGTCTTTCTGTGCAGGTAGGGAATTACACATAGTCAGAGTTTAAAGGATAAAGGTCTAATGGGTTGGATGCTTAAGAAATGGCTCCCATGTTAAAGGGAAACTGTGACAGTACTGAAACCTCTCAGGAAATCTTGGGGCTTTTTCAGTTCCTCAGGGACTCAGATCAAAGCAGATTGTGCTGGTGAGAGTGTTTTCAGTGATTGTAGGAGCTGGGTCAGGTTTTTGTGTCCACACAAAACCAGCCAGCTAAACACGGGCATTTCTTCTGGGCAGCATAAAGCGGAACAAACCCGCTGGGTGGCTGAGCAGTATGAGTGTGCGGTTAAAGAAGAAGGGGAAAAAGTCCTCAGTGAGTTTTTTTCATCCGCTCCGTTACAGGACAGCAGGTTGAGAAATGTCACAGCCAGATCATGGCATTGAGTGCTCCACTTTTCCATTGAATGCCTGGGAGCAGGGCACCGTTATTCTTTTGCTGGCATTGACTAAAATTTTTCACCAGAGCACAAAAATGAGGGCTCCAGGCACAGACTGGAAACAGTGAATCTCCGATCCTTTTCTGAGGGGCTTATTCTGGAGCATCACATGCAAAGAGACTTGCTGGGCAGAAACACAGCCCTCGGCATTTGTAGCTTACAACTTTGAAGCCAAGGTGTGATGAGGAGGTTGCAGCTTGCTCCAGGAAGACACACCCCAGGGAGCATGCATCCCTTGAGCAAAATGTTTGGTGTATGACGTTTTGAACTGGCTTCATAAAAAAAAAAAAGGCAAACCAAAACCAAACCGGGGAGATTAACTGCATCTGGGATGCAGAGCTGCGAGTATTTGTTGTTCTTTAATGGCAGAGCTGTGAAAGGGGCTGGGTATGAAGAGCTGTTCAGGTGGCTCCTTCTCTGAGATGTTCCAGACTTCCTGAGATGCAATGCTACAATGATGAGGGAGCCATGGTGAAATCTTTCAGACCTTAGCAGGAGGGTAGGAATGGCATCCCATAGGCCCACCTGCCCCTTCACTCAGCAGAGCTACTCAACTACCTCCAACAGCTACCCAGGAAGAGCAAAGATCATTAGGTGCAACCAGAGAACAGTCGACAATTCTTACCTATCCCTGGGAGCTCGTGTGGCTGAATGCCTCTTGAGAAGATGACCCAGGCCAACAGGTTTAGCAGTGTGACTGTGCCCTGACAGAAACTTCAAATGCCTGAGAGAGCTGTGGGGGGCTGGAGGAGCTGGCAGGTCGCCTGGTGACCATGAGCTATAGGCCACTCCAAAGACATTTCTGACTTTAGTCCTCAGTGACCCCATCAGGCTGAATGTTTCTGTAATGAAAAATAGTTATGTTGAAATGATCTTTTGGGGAGTATAAAGTTTCATTTAAAAGCTGTGGCTGGCATCCAAATGTCAGTGAAATAATGTTTCTCTCCCTGTCTCTAAGATAAATGTTATCTGGTCAGTAATCAAAACCGATCTGTTGAGTAAAAAGCTAAGAAGTACTGACTATTTAAGACGTGTAAATTTAAAGGTAGTTTATTGTGCAGTCTTACAGGGAAAAAAAAAAGGTGAAAATGGCAACTTCTTTTTTGTTTTTATTGTGGTAACACATTTAGCTGAGGCTACCTATGTCTGGTATACGGCAACTGCTCTGGTTTTCCACCAGCACACAGAGAAAGAGAATTTACCTGCATTTCAGCTCTGCCATAAGGTGTGGTAAAGACTAAAGGAAAGTGAGAAAAAGAACTAAAGTATCATATTAATTATGGCATTTTTAGGTTCCTTCTGATAAAATTTGCAATCAGGGGAATCTGTCCTGTTATTTTTGTGTCTTTTCAACTGTTATCAAGTTGCACTTCTTTGATGATTGATAGCAGCTACACTGGCAGTCAAGTTTGTTACAGCACAGGTCCCTTCTCTCTCAAAAAGAGAGAATTCAGCTCTGTCCTCAAGCTAATTTAGAAAAGCATTTAACTACACCTGAAGCTTCATGCACATCAGCGAATTCATATAAATCAGTGATTTGTGATTTCTTTTAGCTTGACCTTGTCTTTACAGGGTCTTCTTGCATATTTATAATGACAGGCTCAAGCAGAAGAGTTGTGACCTTCATCTACTCTTCAATGTACTTTTGCCAATTTTTCTTCACTTTGTTATTTAGGAGCCAGATACTTTCTTTTCAGCTCTGCAAGGGACATGTTTCTGTAAATGGTATAAGATGGAAGTGTAATTTTGGTGCTGTGACTATTTCCAGATGTGGTCCAAATGCCCCTGGATGCTGGACCCTGAAATGTGTTTCTCACTGCTGAAAGCCCATCACTAAAAAGTTTTTACTTGTTTGGAGCATCCTCTTGGATACCTCCTGGAGGAAGAACTTCGGCTTTCAAGCTGGCCTGGCTACAGCAAAACCATAAATAAATATCTGGACTTTCCTTGTCTCCCAGACCAGTTTCCCAGACCAGTTGTGAATCGCTGTAAGGCCATTACACTGCCTCACTTCCTTCATGCATAAAAAATGTCCCGTTTCCCCATGCTTTGTTGGTAAGTAACCCACCACCATTTCCCCTGTTACACACACTTCATCTGCCTTAGGTCCTAATAATTTGCTTCTATCAAATCTTGCTGTACTACTGCCTTCAAGAGAATTCTTGTGCTGTCTGGGGATTGTGCAAGGTCTGCTTACACCTCTGGCATCTTTTGGCTTCTTCAGCCGTAACAGTAATGCAGGGACCTGGGAGCCAATGTGCTTCACTGCAGTGGGTTTATTCAGAGGTGTGAAGATTGGGAGAGTGGTGAAAAGTTACAGATAGTCCTACAGCACGTCTGCTTTTACTCTCCTATCATGACTGGAGCCAAATGAAGAATTAAATCATATTGGCCATTTGATAGAAAATTCAATGCAATTATGTTGTAGGTATCAGCAGAAACGTCAAACATAAAGGCTTTCAGACTACTGACTTACTTGTTTCTTTGCAGCATTTTCCTCCTGCTTTGCTGAAGTGGCCTTAGGGGTGAAGGTGTCTCCAGAAACAGTATCCTTCCCACATACAGCTACTTCTCAGCCACACCCCCGTCATCATTCGTCATCCCATCAAGGTACCACAGTTCGTTTTAACAGCGCAGGCTCTCTTAAAACAACATCCATGAGCCATAGAACAACTGTGCAATCAACAGACCAGCGCCAGGTAACAACAGCACCAGGCCATCACACGACAGACCAGGCAGCAGCCACCACCACTCAAGTGATCAGCCAGAAATCTCCCATGGTGGTATCCACAATATCAGCAGACAACACAACTGCAGCTGGTCAGACTACAACCCAGGCAATGGAAACGGTTACACTTGTGAAGAATGCAACCACACACCCTGTGTCCTCCACCAAGCAAGACAGAGCATGTGTGAGCGCAGAAATAACAGCAGCAGCCACAAACACAACCATAAAACATACAACACCAAATACACAAATGACAGCTATTGCCATAAATACTACAGCAGCCACCATGCAAACTGTAAAGCCCACCACAGGATCTGGAAATCAAACAACGCTACCTGAAAGTTCAATAGCCCCAGCCATGACAAATGCAACAACCATTCATCCAGGGACTCGAACAGCCATCCCATCTACTATGATGACAACAAGACCCACTCTTGCACCTCAGCCTTCTCCCATCCCCACTGGTATATACACCATTTCCAGTGGGAACAGGACCTGCATCAAAGCAGTCATGGGTTTGCAGCTGATGGCTCAAAATGCACAGAAGGTGAGGTGGAAGCACAAGGCTGAGCTTTGTGATGACTTAATTACAAGGTTTCTTCATTAGCTGGAATTGATTCTTTTCAAAGCAATTTTCAGGAGGTAGCTTGTATGATAAAAATAAGTGGTTTGCTACCAGTCTAAGGCCTTTCTGTGCCACAGCATCTTGGTTGCTGCACTTTGGCTTGTATGATGATATCAGTGGGTCATATGGGTGCTTTCTTCTTTCACTGATGTATGTGCAGTAGCAGTACTGGGGGAGTAGATCAGCCTTCTATTATTTGTGTTTTCTAGAATGGGAGACTAGTTAAAATCTGAGTTGACTTCAGTGAAGGGCTTGACATTGTGAGTTGCAACGAAAGCAAGAAATTATCAGTTCACAGACTTGGATCCGGGGATGGGTTGCCCTGGTACTGACACATGAAGATTTTAGGATCACAGGAACTGCCAGGCTGGACCGGAGCAGGGTGCTGGGCAGCTGGTACCTTCTCTTAGCTGTGGTGAATGGCATGAATAGTCCAGCAAAAGATGTCATAAAACCTGAAAGTGTGATTATGTCAGTCAGACTTTAGTTTTGTAGCCTCCATTAATACAGTATGTGGGGTTACAGGCTCAGGCTCTGAACTTCATATGCCTTGGGCCAAACCCATTACATATTTGGGGTTTGAAAGTTTCTTACATATCTAATATTGGTAAAAGTATTCTTCATCCCTCTTCATGACAGTAGCCAGAAGGAAAGCGTGATTCCCAGCCTCACCAGACCATGGTGAGATACTTATTACAAAAGTAATGTGTGTTTGAGATGAGACTGAAGGAGCCAAACTGTATTCAGGGCTGCAGAGCTTTCCTTTCAAACTACAGTGTGGGTTGATAGGTGCTAGAGATGAACTATGCAGGACATAAGAGGCCAGAGTGATATGAGGAGCAGCACATGTCAAAGGCAATTAAACCCTTATCTGCCACTGTCTTGATCTTTCCTCTGCCTTCAGGCACGATTTCCCACTTCTCCCCCTCTTTAAATTACCACTGGCACTCACCTAATCCTGCTCTGAATTGTATCAGTTCACTGAATGAGCAGAAAACTATTACTTTCTGCTGTCTTACACACTGGAACAGGTTGGTGATGTGTCAGACAAGTACTAGTGCTGGCTCAGGAGCAGGGAACAACCCTGGCAGACAGCAATTAGGCTGCTACCACCACTGGCCTGTTCATTTAGCCCCAGAGCCTGTCTGGGGAAAAAAAAAATGCAGCTATAAGTATCTTTTTCTTATTAATCTTCCCTTCTCCTTTTCATCAGCAGCCCTGCAATGTCTCTTCTCTCCACAGAAGCAGATGGAGTACATGACTGTCATCCCCAATGTGACACAGACATTTGGAAGCTGTGGAATGGTGCAGTCTGAACTGAACATAACTTTCAGTGGAGGGTTTGTAAACTTCACCTTTGTAAAGGTAATTGTTGCATTTAGAGAGACGGAGTGTTTAGGACTGGGAAGGTGGAGTTTAGACTGCCTTTAAACCAGTTTGCACTGTGTGAAAGGCATTTCATCTATCTCTATGCTAGTTTTGACCTGTATATAAGGCACTATTATTCCTGTCCTTCCCAAGAGGCTAGAGTCACAGAACCACAGAGTAATTCAGGTTGGAAAATACTTTTGGAGGCCACTTAGTCCAACCCCCTGCTCAGAGCAGAGCTAACTTCAATGTTAAATCATGTCTCATCTAGTTGAACTTTCAATTTGGAAAGGTTCATATATGCAATGAAGGGTAAGTACAGTGCCTTGCCATTCTCTGATAGAAAGTGCTGTTTGAATTGGAGCAAAACAGAGGGAACAGGTTTGGGACTGTAGTCCCTGCAGATGACTAAGGTACGTGTGCTGGGAACTCTGACTCAAACTATCAAATTGCTCCTCTAAAATGGTGTCTCAAGGACCACTTGAATACAGGTGAGGTTAGTCGTTTGCTTCCCATAAACGCCAAGTATCACATCTGCATAGCCAAAAGCCAACTGTGGTTGTTAAATTGAAAGGGCAGTCTGTGCAGTTGTAAGTGTCAAGGAGCCACAGCCCATCCACAGCTGAAAGGGACTAATTTTGTCTAATTACTCAGTGGAAAATTCCAAACAAGTGAACTACAACAGCAAAATTGTAGATAAGTGCCCTTAAAATGTACCACACCAAGGAGACTTATAAGTACACAGAGAAACTTGGGCAAGAGAGAGGCCGTACTTACATGGCAGGAAAACGAGCTTTGTTTTTGGCATTGTGTCTGTTGATACCATGTTCCCAATGGGACTGCATCATACGTGGCTGAGGCTTTAACATAAGCTACCAAAAGTGCTGTTGCTATTGTGGTAACCACAGGAGAAAATGGCTGAGTGCAGCCATACTCTTGCTTCCTCAGACATTTGCATTGTTTACACATTCTGGGAGGCAGTGTGCAGTACTATTTATCTGAAAGCTAATATGGCTGGGTGGTAATGCCAGCAGAGCTAACAGCAGAAATTAATACTATGTATAAAGTTATTAATGGGCAGGGAGGAATACAGTGTGGTTTGGATCCCATCAAACTCTGAATGAACGTTACATGCATTACTCTCGCAATCCCTTTCTCCCTCCCAGTTGCCCTTAAATAACAGGTACGAGGTCTTGGAACTACAGGGCCAGGTAAATGGAGATGAAGGGGTAGATCTATCTAGTGAGTCACCTAGGGCTTGTCACTCACCCCCATGCCTTAGAACTTCCTCAACCAAGAAGAAGAGTAATTGTGGTGGGTGACTCCCTTCTGAGGGGAGCAGAAGGGCCCATTTGTCGACCAGATCCATCCCACAGGGAAGTCTGCTGCCTACCTGGGGCTCAGATTGGAGATGTTAAAAGGAAGCTCTGATCTGGTGCAGCCCTCTGACTACTATCCGCTGCTGGTTTTTCAGGTTGGCAGTGATGAAATTATTACAAGGAGGGCAAGGGTGATGAAGAGAGACTTCAGGGCCCTGGGACAGCTGGTTAGAGGGTCTGGAGTGCAGGTGGTGTTTGCCTCCATACCTGTTACAAGCAAGGGTGAAGAGATAAATAGGAAGAGCCTGCAGATTAATGTATGGCTGCGTGACTGGTGCCAAAGGCAGGGTTTTGGGTTTTTCAATCATGGGCTGCTATATGAGACACCTGGTTTGCTGGTGGCAGGTGGGATACACCGGTCCCAGAGGGGGAGAAGGTTTTTGAGGCAGGAGTTAGCAGGGCTCATTGACAGGGCTTTAAACTAGGTAGGAAGGGGGAAGGAGAGATAACTGGGCCTGTTAGGGACAAGCCCAAGAGAAACATGCTAGGGCTTGAAGGATGGCGGACTAGGGAGGACTCTCAATCTATTGTTTCATTTGAGGGAAAGGATAGTTGTTTAGATCCTGCTCCTCAGGGGAAAAAGGGTACCAGGGCAAGAGTTAGCAGAGCTCACTCACAGAGCTCTAGGTTAGATTCAAAGTGCAAGGGGGTTGTAGCTGGGTTTGAACCAGTGGGGCATTGTTCTAGTATTAATGAAGACCAGAAGGCCTCCTGCCTCCCAAGGGTGCCAGTAGCGTGCTCAGCTCGCTCCCTGAAATGCCTCTACACCAATGCACGCAGCATGGGGATTAAACAGGAGGAGTTAGAAGTCCGTGTGCGGTCTAAAGGTTATGATCTGGTGGCAATCACAGAGACATGGTGGGACAGCTCACATGACTGGAATGTGGTCATGGATGACTGTGTCCTTTTTAGGAAAGATAGGTCAGCAAACCGAGGTGGTGGAGTTGCTCTTTATGTGAGAGAGAGAGAGAGACTAGAATGTATTGAGTTCTGTCCAGGGGCAGATGAGGAGCAAGTGGGAAGTCTGTGAGTACGAATTAAGGGACAGGCTGGTACGGGTGATACAGCTGTGGGGGTCTATTGTAGACCTGCTGATCAGGACAGAGGAGCTGATGAGGCTTTCTACAGGCAATTGAAAGCAGCCTCACGACTACATGCCTTGGTCCTCATGGGGGATTTTAACTACCCCGATATTTGCTGGAAGACTTGCACAGCCAATCATTCACAGTCTAGGAGGTTCCTCCAGTGCATTGATGATAACTTCTTAATGCAAATGGTGGACAAACCAACTAGGAGAGGAGCGCTGCTAGATCTAGTACTCACCAACAGAGGGTCTGGTTGAAGCGGTGATGGTCAATGGCAGCCTTGGCTGCAGTGACCATGAGATGGTGGAGTTTAGGATCCCGTGTGGGAGGAATAGAATACCTAGCAAGGCCACAATTCTGCATTTCCGAAGGGCCAACTTTGGCCTCTTCAATGAATTGCTAAGGGAAGTCTTGCGGGAAAGGGTACTAGGTGGTAAAGGGGCTCAAGATAGTTGGTCAGCATTCAAGGACCACTTCTTCCAAGCTCAGGATCAGAGTATCCCAATGGGTAGGAAGTCAAGTAGGGGAGCCAGGAGAGCAGCATGGTTAAACAAGGAACTGCTGGGCAAACTCATGTGGAAAAAGAGGATCTATGGATTGTGGAAGGAGGGGCTGGCCACTTGGGGGGAATATAGGACAGTTGTTAGAGAATGTAGGGAGGCAATTAGGACAGCTAAGGCCTCTTTGGAACTTAATCTTGCGAGTCGGGTTAAGTACCATAGAAAGGGCTTCTTCAAATACACAGTGGATAAAACTAACACAAGAGGCAATATAGGCCCACTGCTGAACGAGGCGGGTGCCCTGGAGAAGGCAGGTGCTGAATGCCTTCTATGCCTCTGTGTTTACTCCTGCAGACTCTCCCCAGGGGACCCAGATTCCTATAGCTCCAGAAGGAGTCAGGATAAAGGAGGAGTTCACTTTGGTAGATGAGGATTGGGTTAGGGATCAGTTAAGCAATCTGGACATCTATAAATCGATGGGTCCGGATGGAATACACCCGCGGGTGCTGAGGGAGCTGGCGGAGGTCATTGCTGAGCCACTCTCCATCATCTTTGGTAAGCTGTGGGAAACAGGAGAAGTGCCTGAGGGTTGGAGGATGGCAAATTCAGCGAGACCTGGACAGGCTGGAGAGTTGGGCGGGTAGAAACTTGATGAAATTCAACAAAGCCAAGTGTAGAGTCTTGCATCTGGGGATGTACCAGTACAGGTTGGGGGCTGACCTGCTGGACAGTAGTGAAGGGGAAAGGGACCTGGGGGTCCTGGTGGATAGGAGGATGACCATGAGCCAGCAATATGCCCTTGTGGCCAAGAAGGCCAATGGCATCCTAGGGTGCATTAGAAAGGGTGTGCTTAGTAGGTCAAGCGAGGTTCTCCTCCCCCTCTACTCTGCCTTGGTGAGGCCGCGTCTGGAATATTGTGTCCAGTTCTGGGGCCCTCAGTTCAAGAAGGACAGGGAATTGCTTGAAAGAGTCCAGCACAGAGCTACAAAGATGATTAAGGGAGTGGAACATCTCCCTTATGAGGAGAGGCTGAGGGAGCTGGGACTCTTTAGCTTGGAGAAGAGGAGACTGAGGGGTGACCTCATCAATGTTTACAGATATGTAAAGGGTGAGTGTCAGGATGATGGAGCTAGGTTTTTTTCAGTGATGTCCAGTGATAGGACAAGGGGCAATGGGTGTAAACTGGAGCATAGGAGGTTCCATGTGAACATCAGGAAAAGTTTCTTTACCGTGAGAGTGACAGAGCACTGGAACAGGTTGCCCAGGGGGGTTGTGGAGTTTCCTACATTGGAGATATTCAAGGCCCGCCTGGACAAGTTTCTGTGTGATGTACTCTAGGTTACCCTGCTCTTGCAGGGGGGTTGGACTAGATGATCTTTTGAGGTCCCTTCCAACCCTTGGGATTCTGTGATTCTGTGACGCATTAAGGCCATGTTCTGGAGCTCCATAGGGGTTCAGAGCTGTAATTTGGCCATCAGTGCTGATCTGTGTCCTTCAATTAATCAAGCCAAAATGTCAATGTTACAGCCTGGTTCCAAGCCCAAATTAATCACAATTAAGTACAAGCACTTAATTAGTCTTTTCCATAGAAAGTCCAAGAGACAACAGCAAATTGTACCACTCCTGAGTCATTAATGCTTGAGAAGAGAAAAGACTTCAATTAACAATCGTCTTGATTTTAGTTTATGGCAGAGTGTTTTCTAAAAGCTACAAAGGAAAAGTAAGGTGAAAAACCCAGGAGCTGTTTTAAAACAAAGGCTCAGTTCAGACTGTAAGTGTTTGCTTTAAATGTATGCTTCCTGCAACAAGGTGAGCATTTTCTGTGTTACAAGGATCCTTAGAAAAAGTCCGATGATTCAAGTACCCATGAAAGCCCCAGCTTGCAGCAGTGCTAAGGAGAGTGACATGAACCTTTAGGAGATACTTGACCTGTCTTGCCCTGAAAAATGTGGTTGTTGGCACAGAATTAGACAATCCGCCCTTCACTTAAAGATAAGCCTCAAGAGAAGAGCAGGGCTTGCCTCAAACTTCTTTGAAAGTCAAGTTAATATGAAATCATTTTGCTGCTGGTTTTTATGTGTTTGGCCTCCACAGCCTCCCTAACTGCTTTGAACCAGGAGTGCTCCCATGGTGGCACTTCTGATTTTCATAGGTGAAAGAGGAGCTGGATCAGGCCACAGGGCTGGGGTGTTGGTGCAGGGTAGCAGGAGGTGGGAGGCTGGCTCAGTACTCACCGCTGCAGCTGCCTTTTGCAAAGAACTTGAAAAAAGGAAGTTTTGTAACCAGCCCACAAGACGTGAAGTAGGAGCAGGTGTTTTCCCTAAGCCAAGTTACTAACTGTGGCCAAACAGAACTTAGAGCTGCCACCAAAAAAGGGGTAATATTTAACCTCACCTTTTTATTCCTTTAAGTAGGAGTATTACTGAGAACACAGAAGCTCTTTTGCTTTCTGCAGTTTGCTCATGCAAAGGGCATCTATGCATAAAGTGCTCTGCAGCACTGGGAGTCCCAAGTCCTTCTGAAGGTGCAGGCTTAAATCCTGCAAGCAGTCAGACTGCAGGTCAGCATGGATTCATTCAGTGCAGGATCGCTCAGGAGAGCACTGTAGTGACTCTCAGTAAAGCAGAACAGGCGAATAAAAATAAAATGTCCTTATAACATGCCTGTTAATTTGTGCAATGTATACTATTTGTTTAACTCCCTCTTACTTTTGGTTGCCACAAGCATCACACAAATGTCTAGCTTTAGTAGTCTGTGTAAACTACACCTGTATGGTTCAGTTTCACTGAACTGAGCAGAGGTGGTGATGTAGCTGAAGTGGATGCATGACACCAGCTTCTTAGCTTTTAGATGGAGTTACCTGGAAACAAAAAAACAATACATCCAGGCATGTTGGGTTTTGGGTCCTAAAGGTGGAGCTTAAAAATGTGTTTCTTTGGGAAACACTTTGTGACCATTTTGGTGTGGTGAACTGCATTTTTTTTTTTTCCCCCACAAATATGCGGACGTATTGTGAATAAAGATACACCTTCTTTTGCAGCAAGCTCCAAGCTACTATGTCAGTAAAATTGAGACCAGGTTACAGTCATCTTCTGAAGGTTAGTGATTTTTGCATTGTCTTAATTTCATATTAAACTCTTCTGGGTGTGAGATAGGCTTTTATATCTTTAAGACACTGGATTTTTGCAAATTACGTTTTTTATCAGGCTTTCAACATGTCATTCATCTAAATCTTATGGTATGAAAATGCAAGAGAAGGAACTAGGATGCAGTGTTATCAGAATTGTTCAATTTTCCTTTTGTCCTCAAAACTGTCCCTGCCCCACCTCTCTCTGAATAGAGATTACTTGAAACCTAAATTTAATATATAAAACAGCCCTCAAAACCACAAAAATGCTGTGACTCCAGTTTGGCTGGATGCATCTTTCCAATCTAATAAGCGTACTAAATGAATACAGTATCTGGATAACAGAAATGCAGAGCTGGATCCAGATTTCAAATACACCAGTATCAAGAGGAGGCTTGTCTTGATTTTGTAGAAATGAGAACTGGACCCAGGGTGAGATTCTTCATCCTGAAGTCTTAGACCTTGTCTGTGCTCTTCTCTTTCTTTCTTTTTTCTGATACAACCCTGCTTCTCATCATTTGAACAGTCAGGAGCTGCTCCAGATGTGACATACCAAGAACTGCTAAAAGAACATTGTTTAGGTCAGAGAGAAAAATTCTAAGCCATCACTTCAGATTTTATCTGACATTAATTTTGCACAAGTTCTTCCAAATATTTCAAATCTGTGACAGGTTAACGACTATGTTATGTCACTTCTCCATTTGTTACTCATAAGTATTTGGATTGACTTTTGTCCCTGAAAGAAAAAAAGCAAATCAGGAGCTTGAGCAGGTGTGTCCTAATAGCACTGAGCTTTTGGAAGCTCAGTGCCTAGTTTTCTTCTCACTGATGAGTATTTCTATTAACTCAAGTGGAGCCTATTCTAATCTACAGCAATTAAAGTAAAAGCAAAGCTGATCCAGATGACATGTCTCCTAGGGATGTTCTCAGTCTAAATGATCAGTTTTCCTGTGCATCGCTAAGTGCAAACTGCAGCAAATACAAACTAATCCACTTAATCATAAGTTTTAAAATCTTCAAATATACTTTGAGTCCTCCCAGTGGTGCTGGCAAGAACCACTGCTATCCCTGCCTGCTTGTTACTGCCTCTCTGCCAGATGCTGCCATTTCACAGACCACCAGCAGTCCTTTTAGAATCATAGAATAGTTAGGGTTGGAAAGGACCTTAAGATCATACAGTTCCAACCCCCTGCCATGGGCAGGGACATCTCACACTAAACCATCTCACCCAAGGCTTCGTCCAATCTGGTCTTGAACACCGCCAGCGTTTTGCACTGAGGAAACCCATATCTTTTCAGGGATAAAAATCACTGAACTATCTGTATCAGTACACACTGGTGTACTGATTTTGACTGAAGGGGACCAAGAGTATGCTGCATGCTGTTATGCCAGCAGTTTTGCTTGAGATACAGTGATGCAGAGTTGGTAATGTGGATGATTTTGCTTTAAACTGGTATATCTGCTTATAAAGGAGGATATGCATAAAGGATATGCCTAGGTTAGAGATCTTTTCATGCATTTAATTTGAGTGGTATTTCCATAAAGTACTGTGACATGGGAATACGTTTAAAAACATATTTAATGCATAAAGCAATACAGACTAGGTATTCCCATGCTATACATGATATATATAGAGAGAGATGGTATCTCTGTTTTGTCTGGAAATAGATGTGCTGGAGACCCAAGACAGATGTCTGTTCCTGTGAGAATCCTAACCCCTTCTTGCAGACTCAAGTTGTTAAAATATGATTTGAAGAAGCATCTGGAATTTTAGCCACCTTTTCAGACCCAAGCTCAGCTGAATTGGACTCATTTAAACATGGAAGAAATGTAACTGATACTTTAGGGGGGAAGGGTCCATGCTTTAGTCACATCTGTGACTGCTGCTCTACCAAAGCACCATGGATCCTCCATTTCATCTCAGAAAGATGTGGGTTCCAACAGTTGGTGTGGGTTCTCATTTTATCTGTCTTTATGGCCTCCAGGTATGCTTTACTATGGAGCTATACAAGAGAAGATGTTTACAACAAAGCTGGGGAATTCCTTTAAGTGTGCCAGCAAGCAAACCTTCAATTTGGAGAAGAACTTCCAGCTACTCTTTGTTAATATGCAGCTGCAGGCGTTTGATATTGTTGGTAACCAGTTTGGAAAAGGTAAGGAGGACACCTTTTCCACCCTTCTGGGATTTACATGTCAGCACTCTGGTAGCCTCATAGATATAATCTGCTAGGTTATGACCATACACACATGGTGATCCTGTTAATACCTATAGTGCAATCACAACTTTGTAATAGGTTTTAAATAGTGAAACCTGCCTGATACTGTTTTCTCACCCTTTTCTGAATCATTTTCAACACAGTGCTAGTAACTATGGAAGATGGAAAAGTATCTTCTCCTCCTGCATTAAGTAACTTCTGTTTCACCTTCTCATTCAGCTCTACAACCACAATTTTATTCTTCATGCATTTTCTCCCTGAGTAAGCAGGGGTGTGTTCACTACCATTGCAATGCCCAAACCTTTAATATATACAGATCAGTTCAAGGACACTGTTCTCAATATAGTCAGATTTTATCTGTTTTGCAAGGTTCTTGACACTCATGAAGTCCCACAGCTGCAGCAGCAAAACTGCCAATTCATAAGGAATATTTGTGAATGCAGGATCATACTTTCAGAGCAGCTGTGTCTAGACATGATGAAATGTTCTTCTGAGGAGGAGCATGATTGGCATGCTCACAGTTTCAGAAAGAGTGTAACGCTCATCTCTGCAATTTGTCCCTTCTTGAGCAGCACCACAAAGAGGCAACCATGTAGCTTAGTAAAAGACGAAGACGGACCAGTACTGACTTCCCTAATCTCTGGATTGCTTACACTGGGAGAATGTACTGGGACTCATAACAACTTCTTCCCTACACTCACACCTGGGGTTCTTTCCACAGGGAAATGAGATGTCATCCTTGTTTCTTGTCCAGCGATGCAGCCAGGACCTGACCAGGCTGTGGGTCCAAGGCTGCTGGGTGTACCAGGAAACTCCCATGCCCCACATTATGGATACTCTCACGGTCTACTGCCGTACTTTTAATGAGATGCATGAAAGATCCTACCAAAAGCAGAGAGATGGACTAGACGGGACCCTGTGGTTGCTTTCAAACTGTGCATCTTCTCATTTCTGTGCCTTCCCTTTAGGGCATTTCCATACAAGAATTCAGGTGGACAGACAAGCTCATCAGCTCTCCAGCCCTTCAGATGCACTAATAAAACATTCCCTTCTGACATTTGACTTTCTGCATCATTAAAAAATATTGCCCCTATAGTCTCCTTTTTACTTTAGATCTGACTTTTGGCTCAGTTTGGCTCTGTTTGACTGATTCTTTCTTTTGTTAAGTCACCATTTTGGCTGCCTTTTTTACTCTGAAAGGAATATAATGGGAAACAACATATGGGGCTTTTTGAGACTTTTTTTCCTTTTTTTGCATGCTTTTCTTTAAAAGCCACACTGAGAATACAATTCATGCTCTCATTTTCATCAAGGTCTTTTTCAAGGGATAACAGTGAGCTGAAACAAATCATGAGATCCTGTCTGGTCCCCACATTCCCATGAGTGAGTTCATTTATGGCTTTTGGTAGGGCCTCACCTCTAGCAGGGACAGAGCTTTGAAAGACTCTCTTTTGCTCCTCCTTCCCCATCCCAGGGTCAGGCTAATCTCACCTAATCAGTACCATATACAAAATTAAATTAGTTTTGCTCTTAACCAACAGGCTGAGAAAGCAGCTTCCACCTCTGAAATAATTCTCTAGTGGCCATAAAATGGTTATGAGACTGTTACGTACCTCTGTTGTTTATGCAGATTTGGAAAGACAAAATCCCCAGTAAAGGAATGACTTTTCACTAGCCTCCTCCCTTTACATATCTCAAGACTGCTAGTTTCACTTCTGTTGCTCCTGATTTGCTTATATTTAAAAGGGGAAGAAAAAGACAACACCAGTGATCATCGGTTTTAAGTTCTTTACAATTTTGTACAGACTGCAGCAGTGTTATTTGTTTGAGTCTGGAAAGCTGTAAAAGTGTCCCCTGAACTGCACTTCTGTATGTCAGAAACAGTTCCTAGAGTTCATAGTCCAAGGTTTTGTCAAGGCAAAATGGCCAATTCAAACATCTCCTGCTTTTGCAATTTTTTAAAATACAGATACTTTTCAGCTCACTTCCTTAACAGCAAGTTACATTAACCAGACAAAGCTTTTAAAAAGCAGCATCTAGTAGAATGCTGGTGCTTTTGGCTTTGGGACATTGCATCACGTAAAATTATCAGCTGGATCAAATGGGAAGAGGATCAGATTTTGGGCAGAGCCATGTGGAGGTTCTGGAGCTGTGACGTGATGTCATACACTCAACATGCTCCCTGGGCTAACTGCCCACCATCAGCATAAAGATTCCCACTGGCAAAAAGCCAAGCTAAGTTATGATCTGTGCCAGTATAGTCATCAGAATTAGACAATAACAATAGAGGGTTTTGTCTTAAAGTGTTGTTGAAATCTACTTTGGAATAGTCACAGGGAGTGAAAGAGGCAGAGGGTGTTTGATCTCCCTCATAAACTGGATTAATCTCTATGGTTGCAAACTGGATTCATCGCTATGCTGGGATATACTGTGGGGTTCAGCTGATCAAGCTACCCTGCAAAAGGCATAGTTTTCTACTCAGGTGCCACTCAAAGCATCATGCTAGAGATCTCGGTTTCCCTGGAGCCCAAGGAAGGACCCTTCCTATAGATCAGATGGAAGATGGAGGACTGATCCTGTTCTGGGATAACACATTAGTGATCTTTCCCAGACCTTGATTTCACTCCCAAGGCTACACTTGCTGTATTGTGAATTTGAGACTGATTCTACCATTGTCACTCCATAAATATTCTGTTTATATTGGTGATGCAGATGGTGCAGTCTCTCCATAAGAAAGCTGACAATTTACCCCAGGCTGGAAGTTGATTTTTAAGTAATGAGTTTCCATTTAATTAGAAGATAACTTAAATATTCATTTGGGTAGGGACTGGTTGAGAAAGTCAGTATTTTCCCCCTCTGTAGCTAACAGGTATGTTTAGAGTGAGTATATCTTTGGATGGTTCTTAAAAAATATTATTTGTGTAAAAAAAAATATCATAAACATTCTGTGAAAACTTTTTCTGATATTATCATATGTGCAATAAGATTACAATGGTACTACTAAAGCAACACCCTGGACTAAGTCCAAGGCTCCTGGCATCTCTGGATGTTCTCAGCCACAGTTATCCACAAATATCCTGAATTAAACACAGAGAACAATTAGAATTTGATTTTTCTTAGAAAATACTGACTTAACTAGGATCCTTGCTGCACCAGCGATGTGCTGGGCTCCCTTCTCTGGTCTGACTCTTCTTACTGGGCAGAAGCCGTTAGATGGTAAAAAGGAACAGTTTTTGTCCATGAAGGATATGCCTTGCTCTTTATTTTCAGACTTACACTTTGTAATGGGATGCTCCACATCTGCTGGCAGAAAGAAAGCCTCCTACTCCTACATGTGTATGTACTGGTCTTGGTGGTAAAACAATTACTGCAGACATGAAAGAGCAGAGTCATTCTCCAGTGAAGCATGTAGCTGTTTTGAATGGGGTGAGTGTTGTTTTTTTGAGGCAAGGTTCACTACAGATAAAAGTGTAGTAAGTAAAGCTCAGGAAGGAGAAAGAGGAAAAGAAAAAAGAAACCAAAAAACTAAGGTTTTGAGAAATTCTGCCTTGTATTTGCCAACTTTTTATCTTTTCTGGAATGCAGATGTATAGTCCAGGAGTACATTGCTCTGTAACACATTTCCTGACCTGCTTTTACTTTCAGAAGAAGAATGTTTTCCTGATAAAAACAGCAAAGTGGCTCCCATCGCAGTGGGCCTGAGTATCCTGGGATTGTTAGTCATCGTGTTTGCCACTTTCCTGATTTCCAGAAGAAAGCCACAAAGAGGATATGAACGTATTTGAGGTGCACTTGTGCTTCCAAATGTGCACAGCAAGTAGAGAAGTCACAGGAGTTTTAGCTTCTACCTAGCAATCTCACTACCCTGAAGCCACATTTTTAAGTGATTTTAAGGGATGACACCATGTCTTTAAAGCTAATATTTCTGGAAATGATTTCTTTAAGGTGGGAAGGAGAGAACTCACACCATCTACTTTAGGCTATTCTTATCATCTAATTCAGTTGTAGTTCAGAGGACCAAAGTGAGGATCTTAAATTCTTTATATTATCAACAAAGTAGGCAGTTCATACAATCCAAGTCAGATGCAAAAAAATAGCTTAAAGCAAGCAGTATCACTATTCCCCAGAAAATCCATCAGGTTTGTTAGAGATAGCATTTAGATTTATTAAAATAGATGTCTCCAGTAACACAACCTTCAAGTGACTAAACCAGAGATCCACAGCTACAGACAACTTTGTTGAATAAGAGCTCAGTGAAAGCCTTGTGGGAACACTGTATGCTGAAGTCTCAAGGCAAGCGTGTGACTTCCATTTGCAAGTTCTCACCAGTCTTGTATGTAACAGGGTTACATTTTGAAAGTCCTTGTTTTTCCTATTAAGCCCTTGACAAGGACAGAGCACTAATATGTGATTCTTAGTCTGGAGGCAGTGTTTTTAGGAAAAAAAAAATCTAGTTTGCAATGACTGTGGATGCAAGTAAGAGATTACCCAGCTGAGGTCATACAGGGGCTGCCTGACCAGTATGTGCCTAAATTATCACTTCTCATTGCTTGTCTCAGCACTGCTACAAAAATGTCTGAACTTCTTGTCAATAATTCCTGAGCTGCAGCCTCAGAAAGCACAGCACATTAGAGCAATCTGACAATGGTAAATTTATCCTGAAATGTTCTCCTGCAAACTGCACAATTCAGGAGCTGATTGACAAGCAGCTGAGGTATGCAGCAGAACTGGGCAGGAGTTTGGAGGCAGAAACTGCATCCGTCTTGCCACATCAGGCCAAGTTGCCCTGCTTGTCAATTGGTGTTCAAGGCACAGCCTCCCTTTGCAACATGTTTGCCATACAATGTGGAGAAAACTAACATGAGGGTCTGAAAACACTGTGACACATGGGCTGATGATTTTGCATGATAAATTCAAAGAGCTTAATATTTTGTGGTCTTGTGAGAGCTCATAAATCACCCCCTTTCACCTATTCAAAGATCTGATTCAGTGCCTGCCACTGAACTTTGTAACTCCCTCTACTGAGACAGCAGCACTGTGATCTCTCTTAATCCCGGAAGATACTATGGTCACTGAAAATGCCAGGGATTAAGTGGCCACAATTGCAGTAGATCTGCACAAGGTCCATGAACAAATAGAAATCCACTATGATGTGGTATGATCAAGGCTTCTGTGGGAAATAAAAGCATGCACAAGCCTTGGACAAACTCTGCCCAACGTGAATGCTACTCAGCATCCTTACATCTGAGGAGCTGGATTTTCATATGGAAATAATTTGGAGCTGTTTTAAAGAACACTAATTGATACACTCTGTAGTCTATTTCCTGCTAAGCAAGTGATAAAGGCATCACACTTGCTTTTGCAACCAAGTTCAGCTGATGCTCTTTGCTGTAACAAGGAAAAATCTCCTTGTCACAAAACATTTACAAAGCTAAACGTATGCACAAATGTGCACAAGGACACACATGTGCATGCACCACACAATCTGTTCACTGCAGAACATCAAAATTATAAGAAATCATATCTGAAAATTTGCCAAAAGAGAAAATAATATTAAATAAGAGCACACCTTCCCCTTAGGAGTCAGGGTAATGGCTTAAACTTTACCAGTTAAAGTTTTGCTTGGAAAAGGACTGTGGAATGGCATCCATTAAAAAAAAGACAGACTGAAGTAATCTGAAAAAAAATCCTTGTTGACAGTTGAATCTGGATCTAAACAAAGTAGAAATGCTGGGAACTGTTTAATTTGCACAAATAATGACCCACATCCTGACCAGTTATTAATAGTGGTGGAACCTCACTGGATTTTCACTGGGTTAAACTGATGATGATATCTTGTGAGTTTAATTTCCCTTAAATATTTTTAAAATAGTTTTGAGATTTTACTAGTGTTTAATCATTGAGAGTTTACCTATTTAAATTAAGAAAAAAAAAGAAATCTGTCCATTCCGTCAATTACTAAAAGATGCTGATCTCCTTCAAGCAGGAAACATGGTCATGCTGTTTCATAATTGACAGAATATGTAGCTGTGGAAGTAATTATGTCTCCAGAAATGGTCTCTTTGAGTCTGAACAAACTGATAAGTAAGAAAGATAAAGACAATTTTGAAGCATTTCTGCACAGAACCAGCTGTGAGCAAGGGAGGCAGTTGAATATGATGATGGGGTAAAGTAGAACAAGAAACAGAATACTGAACTTTCAAGCCTTTAATACAGATACAGTGATTTGAACTGTATTCAGCCAAATACTCAACCTTAAATTTGAGTATTTCAATTATTGTTTTGTAAAAGGCTCCAGCACTTTTAATATTGCTCAGTGAACTTTACCTAGCTTATTTTCACTCTTCGTCCTTCATCCCCTGTTAGTGGGCAAGCAGCCCACTGAACTCAGTGGCATGGTTCAGGCCCTGGGCTGAATAAGATCTTAATAAGGTTCTTAATAAGGTTCTTAGGGTTAGTTAGTACTGTTAATCTATTGTTTAGAAAGCAAATTTTTGTACTTGATTAAAACATTCACTTTTTTAAACCAAGAGAATTTATAACATGTCAAGCAGGAAAGGTAAATACATCCAACTTTGTTGATTCTATGAAGAGCTTCCATTTGAAAGCGAGCCTATGTATTCAGTAGTGATGTTACTGTCCCAAACTGCTACATGTGGACATTTTAGCAACAAACACTGCATAAAAAGCTCAGCACCACACATGATCTGACCCTAAGATGTTCTGACTAGAGATCAATAGATATCTTTCCCACTCAAAACTAAATCCTATATCACATGTTCTTTGGGTTGTTAGGTTGCATGATCTATAGAGTTTGTTACTTCTACAGATATGGATATAGCGTTTTCTTGTGATGTTCTGTACTGAAAAATCCCTTTATGTTAATATTCAGTCTTTTAACATATGGTATCAACATGAAGAGCGAAAACTGTTCTTAATGACTGATAATTCTGTGTTTAATCTTGTGATGCCCTCTGGCACTTTTGCCAGTAATGCAAGGTTAATGTTTTTTCCCCCACACTTTTTTCTTTCTATAGTGAATCAAACTTTGGTATTGAGCAATGTTTGGATTCAGGTTTACCTGATTTGTTTTTATGCTTTTTATTGCTATTATTTGTTGGTTTTATGAAGCTGCATACTGTCCTTTCTAGATGAATAACATTCTGGGCTTGCTTTAAACAGCACGGGGGAAGTGCACATGGCATAAACTGATGAAACAGTTGGATACTCCCGTGAAATGCTGCCAACATGCAGCAAAATTAATCCAATGAGGTTAGTGCTTCACAGCGGTAAAGGATCCATTGGAGAATTCTCTACTGCATCAGGAGATCCCAGCCACTAAACTCAGCCTTTCTTTCACCTGCAGGCCAGGCTACATGCCGTCACCTCCTTTACTGACCATAAAACACACAAGTAGCCTGTGTCAGAGGTGTGTCAGCATGCCAGCATAGCACGGAGTGCTGCCTCTCTGAATTTAACATTGAATGAGAATTAGCCCAGCGGCTCCCTGAGTTGCCATGTGCAGCTTTTATAGCTGACTTCTATTTTCTGCCAGAATTTAGGAAGATATTTGGCTGGCACTTTTTTATCTAATGGAGTTGCTCTAAGGTCCTCCTCCCAGTGGGAAGACTATAGGTGTAATTGGTCTTGGTCCTGCTAGACTTTTTTTAAACATCTTGTCTGAGAAAAGATTTTGAGCAAAAATTCCTAAAAAAACACCACACAAAGGAGAGGATCTTCTGATAAACTAGTTGTATACTAAGTGAGCCATAATAGTTACATCATGGGGAGCAGTGGACAGTTTCTTTTGCTTCCTGTTGATATGGATGTAAATGAAAATATTATTTTCTAAGCCTGGCAGATTGCTTCCCTTCCAGGGCTGCTCTTTGCCATAGTCAGACACTTGTTCACAACCTGCTTACTGCTTGGAACAGTGAGTTACCAACCTGCCCTAAAAATCTGCATGCCAAAACCATTCATATAGTCAGCTTGAGCCCATGTACCCAGAGAGTAGAGAGAAGAGCACAGGGAGGAGACAAAGTTGCAGCTGGGTCCCAGAGTGACCAGCAGTGTTGGTCTCAGCACCCCCACCTCACTTCTTCCCCCAACTGCAGGCTGAGATCAACCCATCCCTGAACCAGAATGATGATATGATGTACCCCATTAGGGAAGCTATGCCTAACTCACTGGAAAGCATGTGCTGGTCAGGAAACAGTGGGGCCACACAGATTAGGAGGGGAGCACGTCCATGTAGCATCCTGATCCTTTGATGCAACTCTCACCCCAGACCATTCACTGTGGTCTCTTGCACACCCAAGGTAGACCAAGGGTATCCCATGGGTGTGATGATGTCATACTTAGCCAAATCACCAAGGAGTTTATAAAGCAAGATTTATTTTCTTTCAGTTCTTTTTGCTCTCTGGTGGACAAATTAAAAACACAGCTGTTAATTCTGGTTGAAAGAGGGAGATGTAGATAGGCATCTTGAGTGTATGAAGGTGGTTTTGTTGATCACTTCTAGCTTGCTATGTGATTGCTAGAAAATAATTTGCTATGAGAAGACACTCTTTATTTTTCTATTATTGTTGTTTCTATAATAAAGGTCATACTTAATCATGAAAGTGTGCATTGCTGTGCAATTATTTTATCTCTCACGTGCTGTTTCACCTAAACTGTTTAAAATACAAGTTCAATCTAACAAACTGGAAGGGTCCTATGAGCTCTGGACGCAAGCCACAGACACAGATATGCCTATATCCTAAATATAACTTTGATGAATATTTCTTTCGTTGCTCAGAGAGCTCATTTCAAGTTTCTATGTTTGTTTCATTAGCACAACTTCCAGAGTATCTAAATTCACTGTATTTCTTTATACAACCAAATCTTTTTGTTTCCTATTGGACCAAACCCCACAGACCATATCTCACAGCAGATATGATGGATGCTTGTTACTTCATGTTTACATTGCTTTCACAGATAATAATCTTAGGCACTATGATAAGAGTCTTTTGAGGAGAATACATCCTTCCAGTGTGCAGTTACGGAAATTAGAGGAAATAGATAGCTAGGGAAATACCATGCATAAACCCGAGAATTCAACAGCTTCTAAGTTGGTCAAAGGAATTTCTCAAAGGATGGGGCTGGACTAAATGATTGTTAAATATCCTTCTCAACCCCAATAAGTCTATGGTTCTATGTGACTTTGCTGTGATTTTGCTGTTTGTCATGTCAACAGCCAGTTTAAAATATCCAAACTGTGAGACAGCTGTGTGAGGTAAACTTCTCAATAAAGAGGAGCACTCAAAAATTCTTCAGCTTCATCTTTAAGGCTTTTTCAAAGAAACTTGAAACTAGATCTGTCTAGATCTACATTTGGTTAATAACTGCAGTCAGACCCTATTTTGGGTGCAGGCTCCTGTAATGCCTCTAAGGCATTAGCATGTGGCATGAGAGAGCTCTCTGCCTAGGAAGGAGAGGGGTGGGCAGATGTGGGAACAGAACACTATCTTCTCTGTAGTGAGACAGGGCTCTAAAATGGCTGAAGAAGTCTCACATGGGATGCTTTTCACGGCTAAAGAAGCAAAGGTTCTTAGATGGATTGCAGGAAAGCAGAAGGCATGGTAAAGTTGGGGGAGAAAAACCTCTCTGCTGCTAGCAGCTGGTTAAGGAACTTATCTGCTAGAGAAGTGCCAATGAGGGCAGAGGAGAGAAAGTATATCAGTGATAACATACCATAATTATGTTTCACTTGCTACTACTGTTTCTAGTGTCAGTGCACATCCCTACATGATGGATAATTTAATGCCTCCATGTTGCAAAGTGAAAACTTCAAAAGCTCCTTCAGTACAAAAGCATGGCTGCTGGGAGACCAGAGTCAGTTTGCTCTGCTTTTTTACGCTTCCTTGGCCTGGTACAATATTAAATTTGGTGCCGGGTTCACTGAAGTAGACAAGGTTCCTGGCTTGTTCATGTTAGTTTTTGAAGCTGGGATGGTAAATACACACTTGGGAGATTTATTTCAGCTGAAGAACTAGGATTTATATGGGGCCTTCTGCATTTCATTGCCTGTGGGTTAGGAGTTTGAAGTAAGCCTTAGAAGGCTGCTGGATGTCTCAAAATTCTCTCTTGCTTGACAAGCTTTAATAGCGGATGGAAGAACACTCAATCATTTCTCCTTTTAAGGCAAAAAGCCCCACCTGTAAGTCACACCATGGACCGTCCCAGAAGCACTGGTTGAGAATTCACAGAAGAAATGTTTTGACATCAGAGTGTCTAGAACTAAAAAGAGTATTTTTGAAAGCATTAATTTGAGGAAGATAACAAGGGTGAGGAAAGATTTCTATGAAGGTAACGTCACTAATAAGGTGAGAAGACACCTGGAGACTACGCTTTCTTTCTTACACCCATGGCTGTGGCCATTGCATGCCAATAATGCAGGGGTATGTATGTCTAAAGTTTATCAGCCCCAGCAATGCTCATACTCCTGGGCTTCCCCAGCTAGCCACAAAATGTCACAAACCCCATATTTCACTTTTTCTGCAAGTCCTGTTGCTTAAGAAGTTGGTAGATCCCAAGTGTTTTATTAAATTATAATTTAATTGGATCAGTTTCTTATTTAACTCTTTCTTCAAAAATTTAAAAAGGAGCAGGTGGCATTTCCCACATGCAGAAAAAAACACACAAGAAAAAACAGAGCTGTTGAGAAAAAGGGAAGTGTTCAGTTTAAGTCAGAAAATCTGTGCAGACTGGAGACACAGCTCTTGGGTTTGAACGTCAGCTTTGCTGGGGCTTTCCTATAGCCCAGAAATTTCTGAAGAATATGATTCATGAGTCCAGCCAATGTTTAACCTCGCTAATTTAGTCATAGGATGACCTGTTTTCATCTCTTCAAGGAAAACTAACTTGTATTTCAAACAAATTATGATGTTCACAACCTGCTTGTGGAAAAAAAATAGTGAGAAAAGTACTCAAATTATTAACCTAAAGAAGCTTTCAAGACAGGCCAAGGTTCCACAATAAAATTTAAATGTTGCCAATCCAACCTATCCAATACATCATTAGGTTCATCACAGTGCCTCTACCTATGTACATGCACATTAAAAGTATTACTGGTGGCAGTGAGAAAATTACTACTTTCTGCATTACAGTTTTATTACACTGCACTTTCAACAATATGTGTATATAATCTGGTGATCCCACTTGACTTTGCAAGCCCTAAAAGCCATGCTTGCAGCATGCCTTCACCAAGAGCAGATTTGCAATATAAATGAGTTTGCAACTTCCATTAGTTCTACTGTCAAAAGCATAGACTCTTCCACCACCTCTGATTTATGAATTGTGAAAGAGCTGCAGCTCTTCCCAACATTCAGTGGCAAACTACATAAAATGCTGCCATCTTGTGTTTACAGACAAATTAAA